CTGGAAGAAATACAGAGAAAAAGAGAGAGACAGAGAGAGACAGAGAACAGCAACATGCAAAAACATGCAAGAAAAAGAGTCATTCACAGAAACTGGACAATTTTGTTAGTAACTTGCTCCACTTAATATGGACTTTTAAAAGTAAGCTATATGTAACTTAAATTCATATTTCAATCATGGATCAGATCATAAATTTGGAGCTTGAGGGGACCTTAGAATCTGTTAAACCCAATATCCTTATTTTACAGATGAGGAAACTCAGGCACAAAGAGTCACTTCCCCAGAGTCACAAATCTATTAAATATCTGAGGTGGGATTTGAACCCATGTCTTTCTGACTTTTAAGGCTAGCATTCCATCCATTACCCCTCAATGCTTCCTCTTTTTTGTTTTTCTTTGTATTTTTGAATATAGTTGTTAATTATTGATAAAGAAAATATTTAATATTTTTAAGTGATTCAATAGAGCAAATTGCTGTCTTTAAGCCTCTTTTAATAAAATGTTTCCAAACCATACAACAAAATTATTTAAGAGTCTTTGAAATATGTGACGATAGTGATAACTTTGTTCAGTAACCCTGTGATAGTAAACATCAGGTAAGGCATAAAAGGGTAATATTTATATTTGCCAGAGGTGTTTACTAAAGGTGTGATGGGGGAGAACTGGTACAGAGTCCAAGTTCAGTGGGGATTACCTAAGGTTGGTGAAGGCTTCCAGGTTCTCCTGTTTGCAGATAACATCATCTCAGTTGCATCAAGCCCAAGGATATTGCAGAGCCTCCTGGAAGAAATTCACGACCACTAAAAAGATTTTGACCTGACCCCTCGCACAGGAAAGACCAAATGGATGAAAAACATTGCCTAAATCCAGGTTCTTAACCATTTTTTGTCATGGACTCCTTTGACAGTCTGGTGAAACCTAATACTACTATTGTTTGAAGGAAATGCTGAAGTTCGTTTAGAGGTTAGTGAAAATAAAAATATGTTTTTTTCTCATCCAAGTTCAAGTACCATCTGAAATCTATCCACTGATCCATTGTGGGTTTATGTACCTCAGGTTAAAAACCTCTGGCCTAGATTATGACAAGCATTTGGTAGACAATTAGGGAGTTTATACATCAGTTTAATTTTCTGGAACAGATAATATGAATAGATAATGAGTTGAAACTGAAATTAAACAGAAGGAAGAGCAAAAACTATAGTTATTCCTTCCATATCGTAGGGGTTAGGAGTATGGCGCCCCTATGATCTGGAAAATCTGCATAAACTTTTTTTTGGCCCTTCTTTCATACCAGAGAATAAGTCTGAATGTTTTTCTTTTTTTCTTTTATGGGGTGGTTACAGTACCTTATTATAAAATTTGGGTTGATATTATATAATACTGTACATATATTTTATGCATTTCTGAGTTTCTAAACTTTTTTTGTGTTGTCTGCTGGCCTTTGCATGTTGTCTGCAGCTTTTGCAAAACTTCCCCAACTTTCCATTTAATTTCTCATGTTGACCTGTGATATATTGAAGCTGCAATGAGGAAAGTCGTGATGTTGAAGAGATGACTGTATTGCCTTCAGGACATTGCGAAGCTCCTTTTAACGACCCCAAGGTTCTCCCAGAAAAAAAAAATCCTATATTTTTGATAAAATTATTGTGTTGGTGTTATTTTGGTGTTATTATAAGGCTTTGATATATAGAGCACAATAGTCTGAGAAGAGCTGAAAATTAGTATCACGCAGAGGGCAGAGTGGAAAGGTGAACAGTGGGTGTAAGCAGGATGCTATATGTAACTAATAAGGAACCTTGGAAAACTAATAAATAATGTGATCAGGAAAAAAAAATTATCACTGAAAAAATAAGATGCACTAGTCACCTAGTGAGTATGGCAGATGAAGAGAGAATAAATGTTGCACTGGTCTCCTTGCAATATCTGGGGCAAGTAAGGAAGATTTTCAGGATGTTAGGTAAACAAGTGGGAGGACATAGACAGGAGATATACAGGTATGAATCATGTGTGATATGTCTCTATCTAAATTGATGAAGTAACAAATAAATTTGAGCACTGAGATTTTAAAACAATCATGTAGACTGGAACTTGGGGTATAAGTCCATAAAGCAAAAAAAAAAACAAAACACAAACCAGCAAAACCAGGCATATGGATTCATCAAGAACAGGTCATGCCAAAATGACTTCATATCCTTTTTAGAGAGCGTTACTAGGGTTACCAGGTAGAACAAGAAAATGTCATAGATATAATTTTCTGAATTTCAACAATGCATTCATTTGGTGAAGTGCTTCCCAGTATCCTCAGGGACAAGACTGAAATGTGGGCCATATGATATTGCAATAAAGTAGATGCAAAACAGGTTGAATTACAAGACTCAAAGTATAGTAATTGCCTAGAATATAAATTCATTGAGAATAAGGATTGTTTTATTCTTTGTGTTTGTATCCCCAGCAGTCAGCACAGTAGGACGTAGTAGATGCTTAACAAATGCTTGTTGGCTGATTGATTGATAAATGGATGGTGTCAATGAATGGTATCATCCTGGATCGTGTTCTGTAATGGAGGATTTAAGGATCTGTTATTGGGTCTATACTATTCAACAACTTTATCAATGACCTGGTTATGGTAATAGATAGAATGCTTATTAAACTTGAAGATGACAAAAAGCTGGGAAGAATAGTTGATGCATTGGATGGTAGCAGCCAAAATGTAGTGAACCAAGTCTAATAAAATTAAAGTTAAGGGATTTTTTTTAGTAAGAAGTAAGAAAAGGCCTTGAACAAAAGTCTAAAAGAGTTTATTTGCCTTATTCTTTTTAAATTTTTTTCAGTGAACAAAAATCTATTTTTTCCTCCCTCTCATCTCTTCTCCTCCCCCATTGTAGCAAACAGACAAAAAACAACACAAAAACTTTTTTTTAACAAATATGCATATTTTTCAGTCAAAACAAATTCCCACATTTCCATGTCAATAACACATACTTATATATTACATACATGCATATGCACATTCATATATAAATAGTTCATACTACATCTTGAATCCATCACTTCTTTGTCAGGAGGTGGGTAGTGTATTTCATTGGTCCTCTGGAATTGTGGCTGGTCAATGTATTGATGTTGTTCAGTATTCTTAAGTCTTTCATAGTTGTTTGTTTTTATAATATTGTGTTTATTGTATCATTTTTTCCGTCTTGTTCTACTCACTTCACTCTGCCATAATTCGTAAAATCTTTCTGGGTTTCTGTCTTCCTTTTTATCATTTCTTACAACACAATAATATTATACCATATTCTTATGCCATAGTTTGATCTACTATTCTCCACTGAGGGGCACTGACAGGTATAAACATAAAGTCCCACTCAGGTAAAAAAAAAAATCCGTTGTACAATATTGTATTGGGTACAGAGGCATGGCTAAGAAGCAGTTCTTGTGAAAAAGACCTGAAAGTTTGAGTGAACTATAAACTTACTATAAGCCTATAACATGACATGGCAATAAAAAAAAAATCTGATGCAACTTTAGATTTCATTGATAGAAAGTGTCCAGAACAAAAGAGGTTATAGTTCCATTGTGTTTATCATAGTTCCATATAGTTCCATAGTTCTGACATTGTCGGGTCAAACTGGAATATTTTATCCCATTATTGGCACCACCCCTTAGGAAGGGCACTGACAAATTGGAGCAGAACCAACCAGGATAGTGAAAGGATCACAAACCAAAGAATACAAGGATTAGCTAAATAAATGAAGAATTGTTTAGCCTGGAAAAGAGAAGACTCGGGATGAGACTGGGGGGTGTTTCAGCAATGATAGATATCTTCGAGTGTTTGAATGGCTATTTAATCAGAGGGAGGATAGATTTCATTTTCTTTGCCCTTGTGGCTAGACTAGCTCAATATAATGAAAAACTTTCTAACAATGAGCTATCCAAAAAGGCAGTAGACTACTTTGGAAGATAATGGTCGCACTATCACTGGAGATTTTCAAAAGGTTAGACAACTACTTGTAATGGATGCTTAGGAGGGGATTCCTATGTTGGACTAAATGGCTTCGGAAGTGTCTTCCAGATCTGAGATTCTGTCATGCTATGTATAGATACTTAGTGCAGACATCTGCCGTTCAGCCATACCACCCTGATCAGTTGTCTGATACATACTGGGCCCTCCCGTAAAATCTTTTTTGCTTTTAGAAGCTGAAATGGGAGAAAAACAGTTGCTTTAGGTGTGGTAGGGCTCTATTCACGTTAGCTGAAGCTTTTAATATTGTTTTTCTGGTATGCCACACCTTGCTAATATGACGTAGTCTCTAGAGGATGATGTGAAAGGGAATATGGCAGGCATGTCATAGCTTTTTAGAGTAGTTAAAGATTCTGATGCTGAGAATAAGAAACAAGTGTCTATGTGGTTTGGCAAATAGATGGAAGGTGTGGCAAAAAAAGCAAATAAACAAAACCCAAGAGCCCATATTAAGCAGATCAGATGTCATTATTTTATTGATCTCAATATGGGTTTATCCTTTTGCTTATCTTTAGTAAAAAAGGCAAGTTAAAATGGATGATATGTTATTGCCAAGAACCCTGACTCAGTGAATTAAAATACAAGTCAGAACAATTGCAAAAAAAAAAAGAAAAAATTACATGAATTCTTTTCTTTAGTGACCAAACCCAGTTGTACATCTGCTGTGCAGTTGTATCATCAACAATATCTCCCTTGAGAAATGGTTCTTTTTCCCTGATTATTCTCAGTGCTTGCTGTAAGGAAGGACAGAACTAGAGAGCATTATCAGCTTCATTCTATAAATAGCTTAGTATATATACACAGATACACATGTGCATATATGTGTGTATGTGTATATATCTGTGTATATATTATATATAATTTAGACTTGACTGATAAGATCTGGAAATTGGGAATTGCTTGTGATTTCCATTTTACTGCTCTCGTTATTTTTTCCCAGCCAGTGACGATGACTGACTAGAGGGTTGGTTTTTTACTTCTAGGTTCAAAAAATTTGATGATAAATACCTGAGGAAGCTTCTAATTAGGGAAAACCAACCCAAGTCAAGCATCGTTTCATTATATAAGAAGCTGGAAATAAAGCATGCCATAGAGATGGCAGAGACTGGGATGATAAGCACAGTGCCATCTATTGCTTCACTAAAGTAAGTATAATTTGGTAGAGGTAAATTCATCAATATTGGATGTGTGTTTCTGTAACAATCTTTAAAGCCCAGGAAGGATAAGTGACCCCAGGGGAGCTAATCTGGGAAAACATGGCAATGAGAACTCATTGCTGAGGGTAAGCTCCTGGTTTAAATATTAATGTACTGATTTTTAGAGGTTAATTTGGGGAGGAGAAATGGGTAGTCTGATAATACCCATTTGTCCGTTAGAGTATTTGCTTTTAGAAATTCAGTGCTTGAAAGTAAATTAAAATCTCCTTATCTCATGCTTTGTAATTGAATATTTTGAAAGTGTGTTGTATTTGCTAGTATAAGCTAACACATAATTATGTAGCTGTTTTACCACAGATTATTGACATAGGGGACCTCATTACTTTCTGGGGTCATGCTCTTGATATCTCATCTTAAGGCCAATGCAAAGAATTCTAAATTCATGGGCTGTTGGATTAATCACAGACCATAAGAGCTTTTCCTTTGTGTATGATTCACTTTGAATGTTTCTTCTTGCTAAAAAGGAGTGTATTTGAAATAAAGCACCTAGATACATACATGGGTAGAGAGAGATACCTACTGATTTTATATAGAAATTAGGAGTAATTTGGTCACCAAAATATTGTGAGTTCTTTGTTCCAGGGTGACACACAACATGGTGTAGTGGATGGAAAGCAAGCTTCTTATCTAGGAAAACCTCATGTCCCTTGTTTTATACATATTGGTTCTGTGACCCTAAGCAAATCACTTAATCTTGTAGTGCTCTTGTAAAGAAGGTACTAACTGGCATTGATATATAATTTCTTATTTATAAGTTCCTATACTAAAAAAGAGTCACAGTTTCTATCCCCATTCCTTAATATTTCCAGAGCAGACTACACTAACTACATTTAGACAGTCAGCATTTATAGACTCTAGAATTAGAAGGAATTTCAGTGATCATGTAATCCAATCGCTTTATCATAAAGATGGGGAAACTGGGGCCCAAGTACCTTCAATGGCTTTCTGAAGATCACACAGATAAAAAGCAACAGATATAAGATTCGAACCAAAATCCTCTGCCTTGAGAGGGGTAGCTAGGTGAAGCAGTGGATAAAGTGTCTGGCCTAGAGTCAGGTAGACCGGAGTTCAAATCTGGCCTCAGACACTAACTGTGTGACCCTGGGCAAGTCACTTAACCCTGTTTGCCTCAGTTTCCTCATCTATAAAATGAAGGAAGGAAATCTAAAAATATAAAACGAGGGAAGGAAATAGCAAACCACTCCAGTATCTTTGCCAAGAAAATCCCAAAAGGAGTCAAAAGAGTCAGACATGACTAAAAAATGATTAAACACCACTAACAACACCTTCTGATCAACAACAACCACTGAACTATACTGCCTCCAGTTATAGCTCCTGTGTGACAAATTGAGATGATCCATTCCCCCCAGTTCTTGCACTTTGGGGAACCTTTTATTTTGAGAAGAAACAGCTTGAACTATGCCAACTCAAGGGTCAGGTGGAAAGGAACTATGTTAATACGATTAAAGTGCAAGGTCAGCATGTGGGGGCTGGGGTTCCTTCTCATCCCTCACTCTGCCTTCTAGGCCACCAAGCCAGTTCCCCTTGCCTTGCACCCCTCTTCCACAGAGAGCCACAGTCTTCTGCTATTTTCCCCACTAATCCTTGCCCTAACATCTACTTTAATCATAACTTACTTATATAAAATGTTAGTAAAAGGAGAGAAAGTATCCCAGAGGTATCCATGGATATATGTTCTAAAGTATCATGTCTTGCAAGATAGAGAATAAAAGGGCAATTAATAATCAGGCAGATCATCAAAAGCTTTTTTTTTTTTTAGTTTTATCTGTTTTATGTATTTATTATTATTTATTTTAATATTATTTAGTTTTATTATTTATTTATTATTGTTGCATGTATATAATATATTAAAGTTTACAAAATACTTTTCTTTTGACAGCTTCCTAATGGGTACGTTGTGCAAGCTTTATTATCCCCATTTTATTGACAGGGTAAACGAAGCTTAGAGAAGTTAAGCAAATTGACCAGGATTTTATAGCTAGTAAATGCAGGAGCTGGGATTTGTACCCATGCATGTACTCTGACTCTAATCAGCACTCAACAGAGTGACTTTATCGCTTTCTGACATCGGCCACCCTCTCCTTTGGTATTTTTTTTCTCTCCTGGATTTAGAGACACCACACATTCCTGGTTCTCTTTTAACAAACCGTTATTAGCCTGTTGGTAAAGTTTTCCTTCAAAAAAGTATAAATTTACCAAATTTTATTTTTTATTTGCAAAAAAATTACATACAAAACAAAACACTTACTATTCACATAATGTAACCAGATCATTAAAATAATACTACAGCTACTTAAAGGCTTTGGTTTTTTTGAGTTCTTGTGCCTATTATGGCTTTTTTGAATGAAGTTAATATTATCACTTTCTTTAAAGTATCATAATAATTTCTAAAGGGAAATGATGTTGGAGGTTTCTGCAACAGGATTGTAGTTTTTACTTCTCTTTTTGTCTTCCTTTCTCCACCTCCCCCCCCCCCATCTCACTCCATGGCTTCAGTTCTATGTAAGTGACTCTCAAATATCTATCTATAGCCCTAATGCTTCTCTGAAGTCTATATAACTGGATCTCAAAGCCCTACCAGCACCTCATACTCCATGTTTTCAAAGTGAAACCTGGTATCTTTCTTTCCAAATTGGTCTTTCCTCTGAGTTGAGTATTTCTGTCAGTGGCATCATCATTCACCTAGTCTCCCTTGTTCAAATCTTTGATAATCTTGCTTTTCATCGACTCTCATATGTTACTAGCCACCGATGCCTTTTCTTTCTATCTTTGGGGATCTATTTGCTCCTCTCCAGTGCCATTGTCATCCCCCACCCCCAATGGCTTTCATTACCATAGGCTTGGTCCTACAATAGCCTCCTCCTTGGCCTTCTTTACCATTTCACTTCTTCAGTACATCCTTAACACTATTGCCAGACTTACATTCCTTTTGTATAGATTTGATTATGTCACTTCTCTGCTCCAAAACTTTAGTGGTTTCCTGTTTTTTACTGGAGAAAGTTCAAACTCCTTTACAAGCATCCAAGGCCCTTTACAATTTGGCAGTACTCTATATTTATTCCTTTCCCTTCTGTTCCCTTTGTTTTCTTCTTTTAGAGAAAGAGTGAAACACTTGTCTTTTCTCCCTGTTTGCCTCCCCAGACTACATTTGTATAGTTTGGATTCACCTACATCAGTTTTTCTAGGAGGGAAAAGATAAAAATTACACTGGCTTATGCAATTTTTGGGAAGGGAAAATATAGGAGAAATCAGTTTTCAGGCTAAGTGAGTTTTCCTTTCATCATCAACAGCGTCTTTGGATTCTTTCTTCCTTCACACTCTTGAAATGTGCTTGCATTTCTCTGACAAGCACTTGGGCCCAGCAGCCATTTGTGTGTTTGGGGTCTCTTTGTTCTTTTCTATTTTGTAGGTCATTGTTTTTCTTCTGCTGTTTTACTGACTACTGTTTTCTGTGATTGCTTTCCCAAGTACTTCTTTCTCATTTTCTCACTTCTCAGCTAATTGTTTTAAGACCTGAGTTTTCTGAGACTTACATCTTTGTTCTGAAGCTTCAGAATGACTGTATCATTCTATGAGTAATGTCATCTTCAGTGTCCTCTGAATTTCTTCCAAGGAAAGATCTTTGTTCTTTTAAGGGGAGAGGAGAACTCTGGGACTGCTTCTCTTGCCCAGAGGCGCACTTGTCTGGAGCTTTTTTTTACCTGGATATCAGAAGGCAAAATGCTGGATATGCAATCTAGTCAGTTGACATGATTTACTTAGACTGAGCAATAATCTGTAGCACCCTATCTTTCTAAGTTTATCTCATATTACTCATTTCCACTTACTTTATATTTCAACTAAACTGAATCCTATTTATCCTTAAACATACCCTGTGCCTTCTCACTGCCATGCCTTTGCCCAACCTGTGCCTACTCTCCTTAACCCCTTTTCCATTTGGCCTGTTGAATTCCTATTGATATTATAAAGCCCAATTTAAATGCCACTACGAAGTCTTCATTAGTCAATCACGTAATGTCCTAGGCACTACATTTTTCAATATGTAAAATGAGGATGTTGGGTTACATGACCTTTATGGCTTCTCCTAGAGCTATAATTAAAATGCAAAACAAGATAAAACAAACAAACAAAAAAAACAAAGAGATAATGTATCAAAATAGGAAGAACACTTGATCAGGAGCCTAGCATGGAGTCCTGGCTCTGACATTTTGCTCTCTGTGTGACATTGGATAATTTATATAATTTCTCTGAACCTCAGTTTCCTTATCTGTAAAATAAGGATAGTAATGTTATAGCACCCTCCACACAGACCTATTTTGATGAAGATACATTATAAAACTTTAATTTTTATGCAAATTTGTTATTATTACCTACCCAGTCATTAATGACTTTTCTTTCCTTGGACCTCATGTAAGTTTTATTTGTACCTCAATTATGTACTTTCTGTTTGTTATTTTATATTATATTATTTGCATTTGCACTAGATTGTAAGCTCTACAAGGGCAGAAATGATCTTTCTAAGCTTTGTATTTCATCATGTACTAAGCACACCTTGGCACACACAAAAGATGCTTAGTAAATGTTTGCTGAATTACAGACACCTTCTTCCTTGGATAATATTCCATGAACACTGATTAACTCTCAAGGTTTCCTTGTTCTGAGCTATGCAAAGCACTCATCACCCTTCTGTAATATCAGTATTACCTTAAACATGTTAAAATACAATTGAATATGTTACTCTTTTGTAAATATTAGTTTTTTTAAAAGACAATGACTCCTTGATGAGTTTTTGAGATACACTGCAATCTTTTGGGACAATATTACAGCCTACTTGATTGGATCAGGAAGAGACTCAAGTTTCATCAATCTTGCTTTTATAGGTTTTCTCATAGAGTGTATAACCCACTCTTCTGAATCTGACCCATTCCACTCATTTTGTACTGAGTTGTGTCCCTTTTTCAGGAGGTCATACCTGTGGGCTTTGTCAAAGTCTATAGGTATAACTAATTTGATTAGAAAAACTACAGGGTGGTTTAGAATATCTAGTCCACTTTCTTCATTTTACCAGCGATGAGGCCAAGGTATAGAGAGAGTTGTCCAAATTCACATGGTAAGTATGCAGCAAGAAGGGATTTAAACCCAACTCTTTTGACTCCAAATCTAGTACTTTTTCTACACCCTTATATGATTTTTGAATTTTTAATTAAATAGTTCTTTAAGTACTCTCTTTTCATAAGTTTTTTTTTTGCAGAAGGTCACCATCACTTTGAAAATGAGAATCTATCATTCCAATATTTATCAAATGTTAAAAATGTTCTTTTTTCCCCAAACCTTTACAGTGATTATCGTGAGGAAAAAATAAGAAAGCTGACCCCTGGTGAAATGGATGAGATACGACAAATATTGTCAAGGAATCTGTATCAAATACGACAGCGTGTAAGAATTTTTATATATTTACCAAAATATTTCATATCTTTGAATAAAAAAAATCAAAGTAGTTGGGATCTAACTGGATATCTGCCATCACCTCAAATGCAGCATATCCTATGCTCAGTTCATCAGTATTTCCCTCAGCCACACTTCCCCTGAAACTTCTTTTTTTTCTGTTATTGGTACCACAATTTTCTCATGCCTCCAGTCTCAGAACTTTGAAGTCCTATTTTACTTCTTTTCCTGTATATCTTATATTTATTCAGTCTTAAAGTTCCATCAGTTCTTCCTTCAAAATAGTTCCCACATCCAGTCCTTTTTCTGTGACTCCTATCCTGCCCTATCCTGCCCTGGTTTTGTTGGCAATTATGCTTTAGGCACTTTGATAGCTTCCTATCAGTCTCTCCATTTACCAGGATCGCTTCTTAGCTATAATCCCTTGTGGAAGTAATTCACTCACTCTAAGCCTCAGTTTCCTTCTTTGTAAAAATACATTTAATTATACTTGCAATACCTGCCATCACTGGATTGTTGTGAGGATCAATACATGTGTATGTGTATGTATATGTAAATGTGTGTGTGTGTGTATGTGTGTGTATATATATATAATATATATATATATAATATATATATATACACACACATACACATATATAGAAGGTACATATATATGTATATATGTATATATATGTACATGTATGTATGTATGTATGTTATGTATGTATGTATGTCACATTTTAAACCCTAAAATCAATTAAAAAGTATTTATTAAGTATATTATTAAGTATATTCTATAATGAGGAAGGGGCTAGGCTGCCCTTTCTTTTCTGCCCAGAGTATACTCCCAAACACCACTGAACTGGTGCCCTGGCAACTTCCAAGTAATATGGCTCAACTCTTCAGAAACTTGGTGCTTTTGTATGATATAGTAAACCTTATTTGGGCTCATGATCATTTCCCTACCTTTTTCCACAACATGACATTGGGCAAACCAAAGCACAACAGCAACCTGTTGTTTACCACCACCACTACTTCCTCCCCCTCCCCCCAGCCCCACACTATTACTCTGTCCTAGACATCACTCTAGGACAAAATATAGTATGAAAGTGAGGCAGTCTGATGCATGAAGAATAATATAAATATCAGCTATACTTATTATTGCTGTTTTTACTTTTATTATTATCACCTCTAATGAGGCTATCAGATAAATATTTCTAAACTCCCACTTTCTTCTTGTCAACTGTTGTTAAAAATCTACGACGGTTGTCTATATGTACTCTATAATTCCACTGCCTGACTTTTGAGGCCCCTCTGCAATCTCTTCTAACATTATCAATGAATTCTATTTAACTCAAGTGACATTTATTTTTTCATTGGTTCTTACAATGTGAAAAATATCATGCTAGGCATTAGGGATGCAAGTATAAAAAATAGCATAGTTTTTGATGTAAAACAGCTTACAAATCGGAAGAAAAGGAGAAGATATATACATAGAAAATCAATCAATAAACGTTTATTAAGCGCTTACTATGTGTCAGACACTATGCTAAATGTTGGGGATAAAAAAAGAGGCAAAAGAGAGTGCTTGCTTAATAAGTGCATAGGAGTAGAGTGGTGTGAGCTTACCAAACGTGTCATGTTCATTTATGCTTTGAGGCATCCTCATACTCTTTCCCGTGGCATAGTAGAAAGAATATTGGATTTGGAGTCAGAGAACCCGAGGTCAAATCCTGAGTCTTCGACCTGTGTGACTTAGGACAAATCAGTTAGGTTAGCCTCTCCTGGCTTCCTCAGCTGTAAAATAGGGAACTAGATGCTCTCAAAGATCCCTTCCAACTCTAAATCAGTGATCCTGTTAAATCCTTTATATCTGAAGAAACGAAAATCATCAGTAATTTTAATTCATTTTAGGAAACTCCTATCTTTATGTAATTCTGACAGCTTTTAGCTATGGGCATTATACATACGTTGAAAAATTGTTTTAAAGTCCCATTTTAGGACCCTTTTGATTTTTTGATTCTGATTGGAGGTGGATATGATAGGAATTTATTTTACAGAAGTTGACAATGGGCCCTGAAATGGCTGAGTAGAGAATTTAATCAAAAGGCCATGGCACCCCCCTGTGGCTAAAGTGGTAGAGGGTTTACTGTCTATCATATATATTCAAAAATGCATTTGACTTCCTAGAAATAAAACTATTTTTCCTGCCTCAGCCCATATAACATATTTTCTCCATTGTTTCTTGAATAGAACGTGTTAACCCAAGATAGGCAGACTGGTTTTTACTCAATCAGTTTCTCCTTTCCTTTGCAAAAGTAATTGGTTCATCAAAAAGAAGACCCATGTTATAGAAAAATTAACAGTATAAATATATATGGATATCATAAATATTCTTTGTTTCATTGGGACCTCAAATACCCAATTGGCTTTAAAAGCCAAAGATATATATGATATAATTTTAACTTTTTTTCAGGCCTGATCAATCAGTGTTTTTGTTAACAATCCCCAATTTGTTTCCCTTTCAGACTCTGTCCTATAACAGACACAACCTGACCACAGATACAAGTGAAAGGCAAGCCAAAGAGATTCTGATCCGACGGCGACATAGCTTGAGAGAAAGCATAAGGAAAGACAACAGCTTGAACTGGGATAGACGGGTAACTTCACTTGTATCTTTCGAGTTAATCCTGAAACCATCTGAGCCCAGAACTTCAAAGAAAGCTTGTCTGGCAGTGAATGAGAAACAAACTCCCATTGTAGATCATCAACTTTGCTAATTCATGAGCATAAAAAGACGGGCAACTTTCACCTTTAGTTTTTCAGTGTATTTCTGACAAGGAAAGCCTCTTTAAAATTAAGGGAATTATTTAGTTATCATTTTATCTAATTGTTTGTAATGTCCTTTGTGAAGCTAGACAGTAGAGTGGTTGTGAACATAATCTATTTTTTTTTAATGAGAAAAAATTTCTTTCCTAACATGACTAACATGGAAATATGTTTTACATGATTGCACACACACATATATCAAATTGTTTACCCTCTTAGAGAGGGGTGAGGTGAGGGAGGGAGGGAGAAAATTTGGAACTCAACTTTTTTTGAAATGAATGTTAAAATTTATCTTTACATGTAATTGGAAAAAATAAAATACTATTTAAAAAATTAAATAGAATGGAAGCAACATATGCAAATAGGAGCCAGTAAAATATATATTCAAGGTTTAATGACAGGAAAGAAATATATAAAAAAATAAAAATGAAAAAAATGTAGCTGTATTCATATTAGATACATATAAGAAACTCATTTGAAGTTAAAAGTATAGTCCAATGGATCTAGTCAAAATAAATACATGCTGGAATTCTGGAACAGCTAGTAAACAATTAAAAGACACTAATAGTTCTGGTATTTGCAATATGAATTGTTTTACTATAGTAACGCTCTGAGGGTAGGCAACTCTCTGAGGCTTGTAATTTGCAGAAGAGTTCTTGATCAGCATTAGTAGAGGGAATTTCCTCACTGGGAAATACTAACAATAATGAAATCATAGGTCCAAAACAGAACAAAACAACAGTAACAAAAATATTATTCCATCACTCTCATGAAACCATCAAAACTGAGCTTTTATAGAACTAACACATGATTTCTTTTTTTTTTAAACTTTCCTTCCAGTTGTACACACTTTTCATAAACATTCATTTTTAAATTTTGAGTTCTAATTTCTCTCCTTCCATTCTGTTTCTCCACTACCTGCTGAGAAGGCAAGCAATATGATACCTATTATACATTTTATATACATTCTTAAAAAATAATACAAAACTGTATTTGTGATTTATGTGAACCAAATTCTTCAACTGCTTTGCTTTAGGAAAATGCAGAGTGTTCATTCTTTATACAAACATGCTCACAGATACATACAGGTACAGACACAATTTTTTTTTCTGATTGTCTTATGATTTCACAACTTTGTTTTAGTGCTAATTTCCATTCTATCTTGGGCAATGGTCAAATATTTCAAATACAACAGTTATTCTTGGAATATTAAAGAAACATATGATTTTAGGTTTAAGAATTATAATTTGCATTTTGAACACTGATTCAACTTTTGGAATGGAATTATAAATTGTTAATCTCTGAAAAACGCAATTATATACGAAATAAGGTGAGGTTTTAATGTTTTTTTTTAATATATATACAGGCATCTACTTCAACATCCCGGTATTTGTCACTACCTAAGAACACTAAACTTCCAGAGATGTTAAAAAGAAGACATAATGTGTCTAATGCAGGTAATGAATATGTATAGAAATTAATTCAATTACTATTGCCATTAAGAGAGAAACAGCCAAAATTGTCATTTTTCATTAAGATTCACAGGATCATGAAATTCTTGAACTGGGAGGGACATCAGTGGCCATTTAATTTATCCCATATCTGAAAAAAAAAGTTCTATCCTCTTTAGTTTGATTCAGTAGAAATTTATTAAGTTCCTACTTTGTGTGAGGCATTGTAGATGCTAGAGATATAGAAAAAACATTAAATAATCTCTGCCCTCAAGGTCTTACATTCTACTGGGAGAGATACATCTGTACTCAGATAAAGAAATCCAAATATATATACAAGTATATGTAAAGTAAATGCATGGGTCAGGCAGACCTCATACCCAGGAACATCAAGAAAAGGTCTCATTACCTAACATCTCCCAACTCCTTGTCTTTCCACAGTTTGCCTTTATACTTGCAATATTCTCAGTCCCTAGTTGTCTTTAAGGCTTGGGGTTCTACAAAATAGCTAATTGGTCATCCAAACTTTGAAGGCTTCCCCAAAAAAAGGAACCCCACTATCTCCAGAGGCATTCATTTCCACTTTTAGATAGCTCTAATTGTTAGAAAGTTTGTTTGTTTTTTCCTTCTTACATCAAGTCTAAATTAACCTACCTATTGGTTCATAAGTCAAACATTTCATAAATCCACAATCACTGCCATTTATTAATAATGTGATTATCACAATATAGTCTACAAATTATTAACTAAGTTAATCTCCACAAAGATCTCATTAATAAGATGGTAGAAAATACTATTATCTTTTAGTTAATGAAAAGATAATGAATGTGGAAAATTTGCAAAAGTGTAAATATTTATCATCTTAGCAGTTATTCTGAAAAACCAATATAGTTTTACGGAAGCCAGCGGTGTATCTTACAACCTGGGGCATTTGTTTAATCTGAACCAATAGGTTTCTCTCACTTTGTAGATTGATGATATTCCAAGTAGATGCAGCTCACCCAAAGACACCCCTTCCCACACCAAAGAGAAGTGGGACAGGATTCCCATGCTGTTGAAAAGTGGAGAGGGATAGTAAACTACTTCCTTTGTTTATCTGAAGACTGGAAAGACTAAGAAAGATGTTCAAGGAAAGAAATCCAGATTACAAGAATCAGGAAAATAATAATAGTCAACATTTATATAGTATTTTGAGGTTATGCATATATTGTCTTATTTGATCCTTACAACAACCCTGTGAGGTAGGGGATATCCTCATTTTAAAGATGTCTTCCCTCTCTTGATTATTTCCAGTTTATCTTGCATATATCTTGTTTATACCTAGCTGTTTGCATGTTTTCTTTCTCATTAGACTGTGAGCTCCTTGAGAGAAGGGATTTTTTTAGGGGGGTGTTTTTAAAAATTCTCAGCCCTTAATACAGTGGTGCATATTGGCATAATTTGAATGATGAGGAAACTGAATTGCCTGAGGTCATACAGCTAACAAGCACCAGAGGCAGGAAAACTCAGGTCTACCAGATTCCAAATATAGTAAATTATCCTCTATGCCATCATCCAGGAAAATGGACAAATCAACACTGTGAAAGTTTGTGACCAGACACTGGGATGTAGAGGCCACCATCTAGTGGTTGTTTGGAACTTCACAGCCTGTCTTTGTATTCCCCAAAGAATTCTCCCATACCTTCAGATTAAGAAAAATTGATCACATCTTCCTATTAATTTTGCAAATGAAAATATTATGAGATATGTTATTCCCTGCAGAAATCTTGACTCACAGCTATAGATGGTGACTTGCTATCCCTAGAGCAATTGTATTTATAATTCAATTTTGACCACATTTTTTCACCATTGTTATTGGCACTTGGTATTCCTTCTCCGAGATGCCCCAAAATCAAATTCTGAGATCCATTTTATTGCTGGTTAGTTTGTGTGTGTACACAAATACAAATATGCATGTGTGTGTATATACATATATGTGTATATATATATGTATATGCACACATATACACATGTATATTTTTTCTATACACACCCAAACTACCCAGCATTAAAGTTGATATCAGAATTTGGGTTTAGGCCTTCTTGGGAGACAGAACACAAATACATTCGTACATACATATACATGCACATACACATATACATGCGTGCCTGTATATGTGTATAATGCATATGTGCATGTGCATACATGTACCCAAACAGCTATGTGTATACATATGTATATATAGTGATGTACATGCATGTATACATATGTGCACATACACAGACACATATGTTTGCACATAGGCACCTATGCGTGTACACACATGTGTATATATACACACATGGATACGTGTGTGTGTGTGTGTGTGTGTGTGTGTGTGTGTGTGTGGTGTGTCTTGAGAGTTGGAATCCCTATTTGGCATGTAAAGGAGAGCAGACAAAACCACATGAACTTAAAAATGTCAAGTAAGCTAGGTGGTGCAGCAGACTGAAACAGGAAAATCTGAATTCAAATACTGCTCCAAACTCTGGCTAACTGTGTGACCCTGGACAAGTCATGTAAACTCTCTTAGCCTCAATTTCCTCATATGCAAAATATGGATAATAATAGAACCTGCCTCACAGGGTTCTTCTGAGGATGAAATAAGATCATATATATCACTTTGCAAGATCACTTTGCAAACCTTAAAGTGCTATGTAAATACTAGCTATTGTGAATGTCCAGGTTTCAGTAAGAATCTTGTCCTGTGGTATGCTAATCAAGTTTGCAGTGTGTCTTCCATCCAAGTCTGACTTTCCTTCCTTTGCTCTCTTGATAGATGGCAATAGCAGTGATTCTGATCCAGATACTGGGACCACAGTGCTAAATCTGCAACCAAGGGCAAGGCGTTTTTTGATGGACCAGCATCAGAAAGCCCAGCAGCAATACCGCATGGAATGGAGAAATGAAGTGCATGGAGATGCCAGCAGAGGGCAGCCCTCCATCACCTCAGCTCTCCACAGCTCAGCAGTCCAAGCACAGACACCAGGTGTGCTCCGGGAGCCTTTGCTCTCCAAAGCCAAATTTGGCACTGTGAGAGAAGAAGGTTTGACTGAAGGCAAAAGACCAGTGCCTCCCCCCAGGCTAGTCAGGCGGGCCTCAGAGCCTGGAAACCAGAAACACAGATATGGAAGTGATAACCCTTAGTGGAAACAGCCAAAACAGGACTGTGGTAACTGGCCTAACACATCTGTAGCTTATTACCCTGAAATCTGACAGAACAATTGAATCCATTTTAAACTCACTATGGATCTAAATATTTTCTGTGGGAGGCAGGGCCAAGCCATCGATTTAATGGGATGAAATGAAAAGCCCAGCAGGAGGAAAACAAACAAAACAAAGGAAAAATAAAACATAAAGCATCTTTTATGATTAGCTTCTAGCAATTGCATTCTTTCCAGGCTTGAAAAAAAAAAGTGTGCCTTTAATGGTTCTGGAATTGAATAACAGAACTAAAATATTTTTAGCAAACACCATTGATGGTGAAAACACATATATCTATGCTTCATTCGAGCTTTTATTTATTAAATTTTCTTTTCATCTAAAACCCATGTCTAAATGAATAGTACCCCCAATTTAAAAAATACATAGAACATTTTTCTTGAAAAAGAAAGCAGAACAATATGGGGCTATTTTTGAAAGATGACAAGTCTGTCAGCAGAGGTTGGGGGAGTTTCCCATACTGCAATGTGGCAACAAAGAGTATTTTTCAAAACAGAGTGTTCAACTACAGCATTCAAGTCTCTATCAGGAAAACCATCAGATAAGCTGTATGGACAAAGTGACCCGACTGTCGTCAAGTGGCCTAAGGGCCGTGTGACCCCGCCTCCACATATTAATGAAGAGCAGCAATCTTTCAGTCTGTCTCTATCTTGTGTTTGGCTGTGATGTGAAAAGTGAATCTCCACTTCTTGTTTACCTGGTGCAAACGGACTGACTAGGCAGTGTAGGCGAGAATTGCCACGTGGTGGGTTGCAGACTTAGCTGACTATGAAGTTCCATCCACACTATTTGTAAGCAGTGTGGGGGCAATAGGGCATCTCAGAGTTCCATGTGTTTACATTGTATCAGTTGATAACTTATACTGTGCAATATTAGGGAGGATGCAGGCAGTCCTGGATCCATGCCCACCCAGTACCACCTCTTCAGGTAGAATCTCCCGTTTTGGGGACTTTAGGACAATGAATCCAGGTCATTAGCTTCAAGTTGAGGAAAACAGGTGGTATGCTATGCTCCAGAATTTTACAACAATGAGAGAATTCTCATTGTTATTTGTAGATTTTTACCCAGAAGACATTTTCATGTGAGAATTTAAAATAATCTGCTATACCTACTTAAAAAAAAAACCTACTAGCTTAGAGATGGCTACATATAAAACAAATGCAATTATAACTCAACGTTTTTCCATCTAAATTGAACCCTAGATATATGAGTAATCTAAGGTATAGCATAAATTTAAGTATCTGTGAAATTTAAGTATATCAAATTGCTATTTGATTCATTATTCCCTGTAACATAACTTTTTATGTCTTGACCTTCTTTTTTTTTGCTAAATTATACTCTTTTAAAACTTGATTGGTACCAAGATTTAGACTAATTATGTCCCCATATAAGATTGAAATTTGACAGAGGCTCCCCAAATTTTATATAGGTAAAAACTTGAAAGGGCTACAAAGACCTGACTTGTATTAATTAAGATGTAAAAATGGGTATGGTTTAATCGAGTAATTAGAAGGTTCAAGTAGAGATTTTCATCTTTAATTTGATCATGAAGCCTTCCTCATTGTTTCTCATGCCCTAGACCCTGAACCCCTGGAACATGGTTTGGTATAGGACTGGAAGCAGTGTGACCAACCCAGAACAAACATGTCTGTCAGACATGTTTTCAGAACCTCTAGAGATGCCTAACAGATACTCAGGTTATGTGAGGAAAAAAAACCAAAAACAACAACAACAGTTTTTAAACCACTTTGACTTTGGGCTTAGTACCAAAAACCAAAATGAAAAAAAAAACAAAGCCCTACCAAAAACCAACATGAAAAAAAAATCCCACCAAAACTTTAAACATAGAATAGGTATTTATAGATTTTTTGGTAAAGAGAAAAAATAGAGGCGGTTTATAGATTTTTGATGAAGGTATATAATTGAGTTTAAAAGATTTGTGATATATTTTTAACAAAGCAAGAGTAAGTTATGGTTTTCAGATTAGTCTAGATGTTTAAAATGTATAGAAAATGAAGGAGAAAGAGAAACTGACCCTTAATACTGTCCCAAGTTTTTTGACTTTACAATTTTCATGCAAGATTACAAGGAGGGAACAGGGAAATCTTTTTATAACTCATTTGTTACTTCTTAAGGAAGTAGACAAAATTCAATTTTCACTTAAGATTATTTACATTATAAACTTGCATGTCATTTATAAATTTATTTTTTACAAAGAAAGGACAAGTGTCAGGTGTTTTAATGTGTAATTTGAAAAAACATCAGTGCCTTGCACATAGTAAATGTCTGTTTAATTGAATTGAATTAATATACATGCATACTTTTCCCCCCTTTGAAACAAAGCAAGTTAAGAGATAGCTATCTAAGCTTGCCTCTATTTTTTTCCCTGTCATCAGATATTATGATAGCAATTGTCTTTGGTGATCATATGGAAATTCTAGGTAATGTCTAAGGCAAAGAGTATACAAGTCTTACAACAACACCTACCTTTAAACAACTATTATTATAACAGAATATCTGCATAACAAAAAGATTGCCAAACCTCAGCTAATGGCTCACTTATTTCAAGCATTATTTGACAACAAAATTTTAGTACAACAACAACGACGACGATGACAATTTGACTGTTCTTTGGAGGTTATTGTAACAAAAGTTAACTTGTATACAGGCCTTTCTTCTCAAATCATTCTGAGGGCTCATTCTGAGGCATTTTTTTTAAAACTGAAAACAGGTATAAATTAGGTTTTTGTTCTTTTGGAATGATTCATTCAAAAATGCCACATTGAGATGGCTTTCTTTAGATCTTGCAGATTTGTGTATTTTGTTTTGGGCAGCCTTTGGTAATTGCAGGATTCTACCCAGCTGTCTGGCATGTGACTTTTTTTTAGCTTAGATTATGCTTTGTGGTGAGATTGGACAACAGTACTTGGGTGAGGGTGGGGGATTGTTAATTTATATTTTAAAAATCTTGAATTAAAATGTATAGAATCACATTAATTTATTAAACACTTAAGCACATTTTGCATTTGTTGCACTACCCAAGTTATGTTTATATTGAAATTAGCATCTCAGTATCAAATGTAAAAATCGCAATGTTTTTGTTGATTGGAAGATTAAGTTTGTCTATATTCTGTAAGGAATGATTAAAGAGTTTGCTTTATTCAGTAAGTGGAAATGCAAGTTGACATTGTCAGCCAAGGTTTGGATGAAACTAGCATGACCTCCATCACTGTAGGCAAGAATGAATCACAGATCACAGCAGATTTCCCATTCTGTTGGATCTTGTTTGTTTTATTGCTATAACATATTGGTTTTTTTTTTCTTTTTCTCTCCCAATTCTTTTTTTCCCTTATTACTCTTCATTTCATTACTAAGGAAACCTGGATATTCACTGTGATGTTAAATAGTTCACTTTGCTTAGTATTGAACCTTAGTTTCTAAATTATTTTAGACTTTGCAATAGATCTAGGCAATTTATTCATTTAAACTGATTATTTAACATTATGGAACCAAACATCCACAAGGTTTATGGAATTTGTTAATTAGTTGTTTGATATCATTCATTTTTCTTCTTTCACTCCTAGTTTTTTTTTTAAATCACAAGAATTCTGTTTTACATAATTATATACATACAGCAAGTTACAGGTCAGCATTCTTATTTTGATGGTGAGTGAATGGGATGTTCAGGTTACCAGACTGTTACCATACCTATCTGAAAGGAAGCACAGCATAGTGGATGGAGAGTGTAACCCAGCCTTAGGCTAGGTTCAAGTCCTTGCCTCTGACATATACTAGTGATAAGACGATTTAACCTCCTTGGCCCAGGAAACTCTCTAAGACGATAAATTGAAGTTGCTAATGTGCATTTTTGGACAGCTAGGTGACTCAGTGGATAGAGTGTTGGGCCTGAAGTCAGAAACAGTCGACTATCTTTGTGAGCTCAAATCTGGCCTCAGATACTAGGTGTGTAACCCTGGGCAAGTCATTTAACCCTGTTTGCCTTGGTTCCTCATTATAAAATGAGCTGGAGAAGGAAATGGCAAACCAATCCACAATCTTTGCCAAGAAAACCTCAAATGGGATCACGAAGAGTTGGATACAACTGAAACAAATGAACAACGACAAAAAATATGCATTATATATAGGGAGTTTCCATACCTGGAGTTCCTTGCACTAATGAAATCACAGGTCTTGGCCAAAATAACAAAAAAAAAAAGACTATATCCACTTCACAAACATGCTCAATTTTCAAACAAGTAGATCACAATAAAATATATTTTGCATAAAAACTATACTGACTGTAATTTCATCTTTTCTTGATGATTCAGAAGATGCGTCAGGATCTTATCCAGCTTGTGTCCTTGTTATGAATATAAGTTATCATTATTCTGTAGATATATGGACATTCTGAATAATAGATTTTTTGTAATTGATAGAAATTTCATTAGACTAGCTCATTTCATTGATTTTTTTTGTTCATGGATTTTTTCATTTCTGCAGCAAAATATTTTAAATGCTCAATTTAATTGTACCAAATTCTGGGCACAATGAAGTGATGACTGTAATTGTTACTGATTTCTCATTTTGACAAGACATTTACATATAATAAACCCACACTACAGGATCAAGCTCCTAACTCCTTAACTCCTGGGTGCCCTATCCTATCCCTACAGCTTACCATTCCCATGCTCACCCAGAGCCTTTATCTCCATCCATCAAGCTCCCTCTTGGCCACAAAACCACAGAATAACAGAAATTGAGTTCTAAGAGACCTCAGAAGCCAACTAGTCCAACCTAGTCCCAAAGGAAATCTCTGCTATAATCCCAAATGATAACTTCTTCTGAAAAACCTCCAAAGGGAAACAAATCACTAGAGACTGCTCATTCTTCCTTGAGATGGCTCTAATTGTAAGGGAGGGAGTTCTTCCTAAGAACAGGCATATATTGGCTTCTTTGCCAACTACTACCCTGGCTCTGCCTTCTTGGGCAAAACAACAAATCTAATCCCTCTTCCAGGGCAGTACTTCAAATACGTGAAAACAGCTATTAATGTGCCTCCCAACTCTTTTCTTGTGGCTAAATATGTCCATTTCCTTCAACTAATCCTCTTATAACATGAATTCAAGGTCCTTCCTCATCCTGATTGCCCTTCTCTGGATACTGTCCAGCTTGTCAGTGTCCTTTCGAAACTGTGGCAGTCCAAACTGATGGCAGTACTCTAGATGAGGTCTGAGTAAGGTAGAGTACAGGTCCTGGAACCTAGTTGCCTTAGGAATGAAAACTTCTGCCTCAAATTGTAGAACCTGTATCTATAGCTTGGAGCTGGTGGAATCCTTTTCTTGCTCCTTGGCCAGAAGGGAGAGTAAGGAAGAAGGGTCTGAACTTCCACTGTAACAGTCAGGGGAGATATATTCCAATTTAGAATTCTTAATTCAGTTGTGGAAACATTATCACACATGGTAGCTGTGGTTTAATGGAAAGAATGCCCTAAACTATGAAGCTGGAAACCTGCGTTCTAGCTCTGTCTGCCATTGACTTGGCAGGTAACCCTGGGCACTCAACTTCTTTTTTTCTGGGCCTCAGTTTCCTTATCTCTAAAATGGGAATGAATTAGATAACTATTCTAAAGTCTCATCTAGCTGTAAATGGCTATCCGTTAGTATATTTGGTCCCTTCTCAGTCTAAGTGCAATGATCATATATAACACCAACCCTATGATCTGATACATCTTGAGTTCCCTGTGGATCAGATGGGCTTTTGTGAGCTACACTAGGAATCTAACCACCATATATACCATTGTTTCTGTGGGAGCATGCCATCTGCATTATAACAAATCAACTTTTGGACACAAATTCAGTAGAGCTTGAGGACTTCCTTTGTTTTCATAATAAATCCACTAGCTTCATTTAATATTAGACATCTAATTGAAGTCTTTCACTTTGCTCAGAAAATTAAATCTTAAAATATAGTGAACAAATTATGTATAATTATATATAAACCTCTCATGTTCACGTCATTCTTTAATATTGCTAAAATGGATACTCATCCCAAAGAAACAGGAAAATGATATTGCCTTAGTTTTCATGATAAATAGATCAAAAACTTAGATTTGCTTAAGGTGCCACAACAAGATACTGTTAGAGGTCATATGAAGAACAAAAATGATAGAATCCAAGACCTGTGCAATATCTATGTGCTGTAGAAAGCTTAAAATTACATAAATCATGTGTGCATGCATGCACACAAACACCCACATAGTCCAAGATCCCAAGTGAAGAACAGATGAATTTGTTGCACTAGTCATTAAGGTTTGTCTTACAATTTGTATCTCACTAAGCAAATTCAGAATTGTCCTAACATAGGCTATCATGCCAACAAACGGGCATGAATTCCAAAGTTCATGACTTTAAACCTTCATGAGACCTATTCATTAAGAAGAGAGTTGAGATTTTTTGAGAAAGATGTGGTCTGAAAAAGATCACTTCCCATCTAGCCAGGTTTTCTTTAATTGTAATTGTTAGTTAGCATTCTGAATAACCTTTCTCTATAGCATAGATTGCATTGGAAGAGGCATTTCTGTTAATCAACAGAGCATATATGTATCAATCAGTTCAAGACTGATTAAAATAAAATTCTTTTTGTTGTAACAAGTGTCCCCCTATTCATTTTGTTGTGCATCGGACTATATATCTAGCATTAATAAATAACAACACTCTCTACCTACTGTTTATAAGTGCTGTTTTTCCCTGTGAGGGCAACATAGGATATCTTAAAATTCTTCCTTCTAAAGGACGAATCAATAATCAATATTCAAGAAATATTATACTTCAGTACTTTTATGGATCCACGATGTCATCAGTATCGGTATTTCCTCCAACATGGCAGATCACAACTTATCTATGCTTTCTCATTCTCCTGTGACTCTTGCCCAAGTCTTCCCATATATTCTCTATATACCAGGCTCTGGGCCTTTCTCTAGATCTCTTGAAATTAGGAGGATACCAGTGAGGAAAGTTAGCCATATGTTGTTCTTGATAAATCACCGACCAACCTGTTCTTCTGGTCATACACTGCCTTAATGCCACTTCTCTTGCATAATTCTCCATTGCCAATGTGTTGCAGCCTACTCATACCTATCACATGAATGAAAAAATGAAAAAAAAATACTAAGAGTTTACTATGCGCAAAGTACTATATATTATGTGTTAGACATACAAATAGAAAAGTAAGGCAATTTCGGCCCTCAAGGAGCTCACATTTTAAAGGGGGATAGAACACATAAATGAGGTTTCAGTTGCAAATCTAAAAGACCCCATGGTGCTTAGGATACAGCAGATAATGAGATAGTAATTCATCTTCTTTATTATTTCCACTAATGAGACCACATTAGTTTCTGATGTTGAACCAGTTGTTAGTACCAAGGACTTTGGTTGTGAGAACCTTCTTTTCTGGGTCTTCAGTAGCCAAGGCTGCAGAAATTGCCAGGTCTCATTTCTTCAGGTGTTGATACCCAGGATGATGACTATGTGGCATGGGTTGTAAGGGGTGCCAGTGGTCTCAGGGACATTGATATTCCTAGGGCTCTTGAACTCATAATCCTGGGCTGTTTCCATCTGGGTCTGAGAGGATATGGTGGTCAAGGTGGTGGTAATGATTTGACTTGTCTGGCATACGTATGCTACTTTGTGTGGCTTCATCTAGGCTTGTTTGCCTGCCCTGTTGGTCACAATTGGTTAACAACTGCTGGAGTTGGCTGGCCCCTTCTTCATAGGGGTTTCTCCCCTGAATCAAGGCCAGGGGTGTTGGGTTGGAATCAGGATTAGTGGCATGAGGAGTGTTGCTATTTCCAAGGCTTTTGGGCTCAGTATCCTGGACTGTTTCCATTGGTTCTTGAGGGGAAGCAGTGGTGGCAGTGATTTGACTCACTTGACTCGTGCTTCTTCTTGTCTGTTCCTCGGGGCTCCTTGCTGCTTTGGCAATAGGCTTTGCTATTATATTACCCTTTGGCCTACCCTTAAATTTAATTCTTCAGAAATGGCAGTATTCAAGAACATGATGCTATACAGTATTGATGAAAAAAATACAGACATCAAAAAAATGGATGTTTGTTTCTGGGAATAGTATATTGTCATTGGAAAAAGTGCCCAATTTCCCAAAAGCAGCCCAGTCTGCCTTCCACTGGTTCAGTTGTGGACCCAGCTCATTGTCCAACTGCAGTGTCTGTCCAGGATAGATGTACTAATTGACCAGGTCTGTGGGTTCTAAGTCATGCTCTGGACCTGGGGTGGAGAACCTGTTGCCTCAATTTGTGGCCCTCTAGGTGCTCAAGTGTGGCCCTTTTGAATCCAAACTTCACAGAACAAATCCCCTTAATAAAAGGATTTGTTCTGTAAAACTTAGACTCATTTAAAAGGCTGCATCAAAGGACCTCGAAGTCTATCTGTGGCCTCGAGGCTGCAAGTTCCCCGCCCCTGGTCTGGTATTTTACTGAGTAGATAGTTGAGCCAAATATTTTTGAGTGCCCGTGGCTCTTATTTAAGAGGCTCTGAAATATGGTGAAGTTTGATGCAAGCAGGACAATGTTGTCTGCAAACAGGAACATCTGCGGCATCAAACCATCAACTTGTTGTTTGGTCATTTCAGTCACATCTGACTGTTCCTGCCAGCTGTAGACAGGCTTGCAGGGCATAAAAGCAAACGAGGTTAGTACATTAATTGTGTGAATTCCTCTGTATGTTTCTTCTCCATAACCCTCAGCAGCCATTTTCACTCACTAAACCTGTAGCACTGGCTCACCTCCCTGTGGATTCAATACGGGAACTCTGAATAATTTGTTGGTCTCTCCAGAGGGCAGCATGGTCTTACTCCCTGGTGTGTGCCTTTCATTTTCTCTTTCTTTTTTTCTACTAGGTAAGTTTCATGGGGCAGGATACAGCATGAAATACTTGGATATCACAGTCCTGTCCAGGTAGCAAGAGAGGATAAAAGCAGGGCTCCATTAGGTGGGCGCCATTTTCTCTAAAATCCTTTTCACCTTCATAACTCCCTTCTATCTCTCCTCTGACATCACTTCTCTTCTCTGTTGTCACTCCAAGTATAATATATCCTGCTATGCAAACCAGGTGAATGAAGCTAGGACAGAATGTCAATGTACTAGCAGGAGCTAAACAGCTCCATTTATTTCCTGTTGTCCTTAGGTCAGGGCTTACTAAACTCTTTTCCATCAAGGACCCTTTTGGCAGGCTGATGAAGCTAATAGCCTCATTCTTAGAATAATATTTTTTAAAAATTCATTTTGAAGGAAATACATGATTCCAATTAGATGTTTGTGAAAATTAAGATACAATATATTTTCTCCTCATTTAATTTCACACATCCTCTTCCCAAATTTATCCATAGACTTCTTAACACTCCATGGACCGCAGTTTAAGAACTCCTGCTCTAGATGCACAATAAAATGTACCGCCAACTCCTTCATCTCTCAAAAGGGAGGCTATGAGTCATCTTTAAATTTTGCTGCCACTTTTTCAGTATCTTTTTTTGTCTTCTGGTTTCATGGGTACCAAGATTGTCAAAATCAGCAATTCCATTCCTCTTAGTACATCCATTTATTTGCTGCTGGACAAGTTTCTCCCATATGAATTACCACCAGAAGCTAAATTGATGCATAGAGACCATCTAAAAACTTCCTGATGCTTAACACCCTCTGTCTCCTTTCCTATCACTGAAGAAGCAAAAGGAGACCACACTTAACTGTGTTTTTGACTCATCAGTGATCATGGCTAAAGAATTCATTACCAAATGGCCTCTCCATTCAGGTTGACAATCACAAAGTAGAGTTAGTGGGGTGCTGAGACCATGAATGATAAAATTTGTTAGCTCTTGGTCTCCATGAACAAAGGCGACGGTGACCTCCGTGCCATGATGAGGCACTAAAGTAGGACTCCGTTGCCATACACACTGAGTATCACTTAGAGTCAAGAAACATTTTTTTAAAATTCCATTTAGCAAAATTTGCTTCTTTCCTTTATGTAGCTGATTTATGTAGCTAACCTTCTAAAAATAAAGTTAAAAATAACAAAAGCAAATCTGGGGAAATAGGAATATATATCTCCCTAAAGATTATTGTAAAGAAATGAAAAATAATAGAAACATCTCAATGAAGAAAATCTATTAAAGAAGAGCATCCTTCCTTTACTGGAAGTTAAGATGACCCCTGCCTAATTTCTTCAGTGCTGAGGCAATGCCTGTTGCATTCAAACAGCCAGTTTGCCCTTTTGGAATTTTTTTCAAAAAACAAATGTTACATATTTTTTAAACATTTAAGAAAAAAATCTCCCCAAATAAAATATATTCGTGTAAATCATTTATGTTCAAGGACAAAATAAGAAATCATGAGGTGATTCTGTTTTCTGTTAAAGACATCTTTTCCCAGCTTATCATTTGACTTTATTTTATCTTTGTTCCCACTTCTTAGCTGCCACAACATTGAGCAGATCGATGGTCAGGACAATAGCAAACATCTGTTTTTTATGGGGACTGCTACTGGTGTGGCAGTTGGTTACCTGGTGATTCCCTAGCACAAAATTTTTAGTCTCAGATGTAGGAGAGGTTCCTCAACGGAAAAAAGAAGGGATAATTTTCACAATCTGTCCATGAAACACCAGTGGATACTTTTGCAAGTATCTCTTTGAGTATCTTCCTTTTATATTGAGGTCAGTGTAGAGCAGGGGTGGGGAACCTGCAGCCTTGAGGCCACGTGTGGTCCTGTAGGTCCTCAAGTATGACCCTTTGACTGAATTCAAAATTCACAGAACGAATCCCTTTAATAAAAGGATTCGTTCTGTACAACTTGGATTCAGTCAAAAGGCTGCACCCAAGGACCTAGAAGGCCACATGTGGCCTCAAGGCCACAAGTCCCCCCCCCCGAGACTGATGGCTTCATTTTTATGCCTCTGATTAAAAATTAAACCATCCAAAGTATGTGATGATGGCCTCTAAAACAACTTACTGTCTATAATTACAATAGAGTGTTTTCAGTATATATTTTTTTGAAGTGGGTTTTGGGTTTTAAATCTAAAGTTTTAGCTTGTTTTAAAAATACCTTCTTAATGAGTTATATTAGTACCTTGCTCCCTTCCCTGCTTCAGGAAAAAAAAATATCATATACCATTCTAGATAATTAGACCTCTACTATAGTCTCAAAGTGTCTTAGAAGGATATGCCAGGTCTTAGGAAATCAGATTTATGCACTTACATATGTTTCAAATGAAAATTCTGAGGAATCTGATGAACACCCAGATTTCAGATTTGTTTAAATGATTGACATTTCCTGTAATCACATCTGAAGGAATTTTTTTTAAAAATTGAGAACTGGTATATATATATATGTATGTATATGTAATTATCCACAGGAGAGAATTCCAAGACATCATTCAGTGGCATGAAACAGACCAATTTCCCATGGTAAAGCCTGTCATAAACTTCAGGTGAAGTGTTAACATAGGGTGGTTGTAAGGATGAATAATATGTCACATGCTTCCTCCTTGAACCTGTCTTCCTCCACATATCCCTATCTCCATTAATCTGCCTCCCCTCCATTGTCCATACATTTCTTAACTTCCACCTGTATCAGTTCAACCCCAGGAAAAATTCTAAGTTAAATGAAGTTTGGCAGCTAGGTCTAGATTGGACCTAGAATCAAGAAGACCCAAGTTCAAATCTAGCCACAGACACCAGTTGTACAATCCTGGCAAGTCACTTAACCTTTCTGAGACTCAGTTTCCTCATTTGTAAAATTGGGGTAACAATAGCACTTATCTTATAGGGTTATTATGAGAACAAAATGATTAGTATATGTAAAGTACTTTATAAACATTACAGTATTATATAAATACTAATTTTTTATTGTTGTTGTTGTTGCCATCTTTGGGTTTCCCAACTTCCAATTCTTCCCCTTTCTCCCTCTTTTTTGGTGCCCTTCATCCTACTCCCCTCAGGCAGTCATTGTTTTCATATCTTTTCTTTGTTAAATTTTATATTCAGAAAATGATGGAATTTTATTCTCACTAAAATATGCAATGAGTAAAGATTTAGGGTCATTTGTGTTGGGACAGGGTAAAAACTTAAAGCAAGTTCAGACGGGGAGGTTTTGGCCATCAGTGAGCAAATGAGGGAGACATCTTTGAAGCACAGAGATTGACCCGAGGCCCCTAGAATCTTACAATAATAGTCATCCATAAGCCCTGAGTGATGATGCCTATGGATCTGCTTTCTAAAACACACACACACACACACACTCTTGCCTTCTTTTAGGCTACTGCCTACAACTTGGTAATCCTCTGCTTATACTTTCTTTTTTCTTTCATTATTTCATTCATTCCTTTGACTAAAATAAATCTGATGGCATCTTCCATTGCTTATAAAATCCAAACCATGTCCATGACCTATTTTCTCCAATTTTATTATCCATTGGTCCTCTATGAAAACGTCCACTCATGTTATATGGACTGATTAGCTAGGTTGGCTACCCGCTGCCCTGTCCACTCAGCCCCTAAACAGTCCTCTGTCTTCTTTTGATAATGCCTTCCCCTACATCTTTCCAATAGTCTGAAGTTTTCCTATACTTCAAGGCCAGGTTCAAATCCCACCTTCTCAGTAAAGCCTTCTTTTACCACCTCCATGCCAAGGTTCTCTCTTGAGCCTCTAAAGATGTTATTTATATGACTACTTTGGAACTTGTTCTTTTTATTTGTATATATTGTTCACCTATATAAAAATTCATTCTTAGTATAGTGGATACAACACTGGACATACAGTCATTAAGACCTAATGCCTCAGATTCTAACTAGGTAAGCCACTTAAACTCTTTCACAGCCTCATCTGAAAATTACTTCACAGGGGTATTGTGGTGATCTCATGAGATTATGAAGTGTTTCACACACCTCATAGCATAATGCAAATGTTAGTTAGCATCAGGGCACCAGAGTGTCAGGCATGGAGTCAGGAAGACTTGAGTTCAAATCTTGTCTCACACACTCACTAGCTGTGTGACCCTGAACAAGTCACTTAACCCTGTTTGTCTCAAATTCCTCCTCTATAAAAGAAACTGAACAGAGAAATGACAAACCACTATAGTATCTTTGCCAAGAAAATCCCAAAAGGGTTCACAAAGAGCTGGACACAACTAAAAATGACTTAGCAAACTATTATCATCCATGGCGCCAGGTACTGTTCTGTAAGCATTAAGTGGGTCCTTAATAAATATTCATACCATAATTTGGTTATAGTGGAAACCTGTCATAGGAGTAGAGGGTTTGTTCTGGACTGGAAGGAAGGTTATTGGAAATATAAGAAACTGGAGCTGTAAGAAAATGGTAAGAAAATAAAACTGTGAAGGGAAGGATGACATTTTCTTTAGATTCTTTTTCATATTAATAGTTTATTGTGTTTTAATAAGTCAATATTAAGTTATTTTGGAAAAAAAACCCACAAAAGTCATTCAGGACAAAAAACCAATAAAAACTTTAATAGTAGATAACATCAGTTGGTATCTCCCTGAGAACATATACCATAAGCCCTCCAAATCCTTAATGGATTACCATATAAGAAACATCTTAAGAAAACATCCATCTAAAAGTCAGGTAAAATCCATGTTAATTAAAGAGTAAAAATATTGTAGTGGTGTACTGAAGGAACATTTCACTTTATCTGCAGAACAAAGAATGCTAGTCTTGGGGTCAGGAAAACATGAGTGAACCTGGGCAAGTCACTTAACCTAGTTCCTTATCTGTAAAATGGGTATAATAACAGCACCTACCTCACAGGGTTGATGTAAGGATGAAATGAGGTAACACATGGAAAGTACTTTGTAAACCATTAAAGTGCTATCTAATTGCTGGTTATTTTTATCCATAAACAAAAGGTCAAACTCTGGATATCTCCACTGAGACTCTTATTTATTGTATAATTTTGCTTTGTGCATCATAACAGCATCATAGATATTATAGGGTGCTGACTTCAGATATAGCTAAAATCAATTGTTATGCATAAAAAATATGCCTAAATTTGAAATTCCTTTTGGGAAATTATATTTTTATTTGTGTGGGGAAAAAAGATAACCACACAGAGTGTAATCAGCAGTTCTATTTCACAGCCCTCTCCCCTTAACCTTTCTGTTACACATCTCAGCTCTCCAACCTTTACTGTATGTAACTACCCTCTTGCTCATGGATCTTGGAATTGTAAATCCAGAACTGGAAAGGACCTTAGAGATACATTTTGCCTAATTGTCTCATTTTACAGATAAGAAAGGTGAGGCCAAAGAGAATAAGTCATGGAGAGAGTAAATTAGCAGAGCTGGGATTCAAAATTAGGCCTCATGATTATAAATTGTGTATTCTCTCCACTGTACCACACTGCATCTCATCTGGTCCTCTGTTTTCTTATCTGTAAAATGATGGGTTTGGACTAGTGACACCCCTCCAGCTCTAAATCCATGATGCTATGCTCTCTTCTCCCAATAAGATTATGAGTAACCTAAGACAGTCTTTTACCCACTGAACCAAACACAGTCCTATGTATTCAGAAGGTGCTTCATAAATACTTATGGATTTAATTATTACAGTTTAACTTGTCCAGTTCAATTGCAAGTGATTTGGTCAACTGCATCCTTACAGTAGGAAAAATGGAAAAAACTTCCAACCTAGAGAATATTATCTTTTCATCTTCACCACGAATATTTGTGTCTCCTTTCTGAAAAGAAATCCTGTAGATTGTTTTGGGGAAATGCACTTTCTAGGTGGGTTTGTTAGGAAGTGCCTGTTGAAGAAAAAAAAATGTATCTGTCTATCTATCCTATCTATTTAATCTACTTATCGTTAAACTAGGCCTGGGATTTCATCAGTGTAAGAAGCTCCAACTCCCAATGAAAATAGGCACCTGATTGCAATTTATAATCTCAGAGAGTTGTCAGACACCAATGCGATTAAGTGGTTTGCCCTAGGTCACAGTGTGTATATCTCGAACTTTTCAAACCATGAATTTGAACATATTATTTTAGCAAGTGAGTATCAATGCCTGCTATGATTTGCATCAATCTCTTGGTACACCTCAAGTCTTGAGCTCACTCTTGGGCTCCTAAGTAGTACATACACAAGCATAATTAAAGTATGCAACACAGACATTAGGGCTAGGAGAGGTTGTATTATTTCCCCTCAATCCTGGTCCCACATAAGGGGCTCATGTGTAACAAGCAGATTTTCAAAATAATCGTAAGGTTCCTTTATAATACCATTCAATAAACATGTGAAATGGGACATCTCACCTGATGATATGTTACTCTGTTATTAATAAGGTTATCTTAACTTATTTTAGGCAATGTTCTATTACCCAAGTAATGCTGCAACACAGGAATACAGAATTTCAGGTAAGATTCACCTTGGCTGTCCTTCAGCCCTCTTAGTCAAGTCCTCAGGGAATCCTCTAGCAGCAGTGGTGAAGATAAAACCTAACACATATGGGACAGGATTAAACAATCTATATAACTCTCCACATTTCAATAGTAAGAGCTGATGAAAATCTAAATACCACTTAGTCAAAAACAATTTTAAGAAAATCTCCAAAATCAATCTAGGATAAGAATTCAATCAGTTTACTTAAAAGATGACAAATTGGTTAATGGAAGTTCTTTAAAATTTACATGGAGATGACAACCTGTATAAACACCCCACTGCTATATGTAAATCATTGCTACCCACCCAATTTTGGATGCTTTTTCTTAAAGTGCAATTTAATTTTCATTTAGTGGGCAAGTCCTAGTAGCTACTTCTATTCTTCCAAGTAGCCTGCTTTGGCAATCCACTCAAAGAGTCTGCTTGTATGCATTCTACCACCATGCTCCCAAGATACCAAGCTGGTATCTTATTTTCTTTAAAAATGTTAACCACATGAACACAACCAGCAAAGGAAACTTCTAGGTACACATTTCATAGCTGTCCTCTTTCTGGTGAATGTTTTCTCTGAACCATGAGTTTTGACTTCTGATTCTGGAGTAGCTGTATCTGTAGAAACCCCAGAGTTTCATCAGGAACCCAGTAGTAATACTTCTAATACACTGAAGATCCTCTTCCCTTGTTTTCACACCACCTTTTTCTTTAAAGGCATATTATTCTTCTATGATATATCATCACCATGCCCTTAATAATTATTGCATTTGCCCCTGGCTGATTCACTACATATTTCATTTGTCTTTTAATGAATACCATCCTATTGGCTTTTCAGCTTAGCACTTTGATTATTACTGTAACGAGGTTTGTTTAAAACCATTATGAGAATAGCCATTAAAGCTAATGCTGCTCCTAGACTTGGGGGGCCACAGGGACTGAATTCTTGGACAATGCCTGAGAGGAGAGGGGCAATGATACGACCCACAGCTGTCACAGACTGCCCCAGGCCTATAAGGGTTCCACTAGCCTGAGTCCCGCCCACAGTTAGCTGAAGGTCTGTGATGCAAATCCTGCCTATAGCAGTAGAAAAGGATAAAAAAGTGGAGCAGAAAATGACCACCAATATGCTAAGTGCTGTAGAGTAAAGCAGCAACAGCACACAAGTGAGGACACTTGAGTGCAACAGAATGGTGTAGGTGTTGTGTTTATAGAGTCTCATTATCGGTCCTAGGACAAAACCCGCCAATGCTCCCAGGGCACTGCTGTAGCTGATAATATACCCAGTCAGCCTGGGTTTCATCCCAAAGCGTTCCTCAATTGCCAGAATAAAGTTACTGTGGTACAGCATGACGGCCACAGCCATGAGGAAGCGCACTAAAAAGATGTCCCACATTTCAGAGAATATCACATTCTCCATGTCTCTTAACACAGACACAACCTGAATCCACAGCTGCCAAGTCATTGCTTGAGGCGTGATGGCACTATTAGTTGTTGGAGTCTCCTGCAACTTGTTTTTTGCCTTTTTCAGGAGGTCTGAAGGAAATTTGTTGCTGGTTTGCTGGCTATTTTTCATCCTACTCAAGTTTGTATCATTCCATGGAAATATCCAGACAAGACCTGTTAATGCAGGATAAGAGCATGAGTGTACTTTTGTTCTCAGATGCTTAAAAATCTACTTCTCTAACACTGCTCAATTGCGTTTGTTAAAATGGCTGAGGTAACTTCTACAGACCCTTCCTTCTACTCTGTTGTCTATGTCAAGGACCCCCAGATGATCTCCTTGCTTTGATCCATTTCCTACACAGCTGCTAGAAATGATCTCAGCTGAGGTTCAGGGAGTGTAAGTAATTTACAAGGATCAAACATCTAATGAGCATCAGAAGTGGAATTTAAACTCTGGCCTTCCTTAGCCTAAGTCAGCACTATATCCACTATTCCACTGAAATAATAAAATCAAAGAATGCATCTGGCTTATTATTGTTATTATTTCTGTAATCATTACTTACTATTATTAATAATAATAAAAGGAGAGTGTTGGACAAAAAAAATGATCTCAAACAAAATGTTCACTCCTCTGCTTGAGAACTTTCAATGGCTTCTTATTTCCCATTATCTCATTATCCCATTATTGTGCTTTTTGTTCAAGGCTTTTCATTAACTGATCTCACTTCTCTTCAGCTCCTCTCCTCTATTCCCAACAAACTACTTTCTTTGCCTCTTCGTTTCAATTTAATTCAACAAGCTACTCCACGCTGACTTTGGTTGGTTATATATTCCATTTCTATCACCTGAACTTAACCTAGCCCTGCCTCTTCAACCATTAATGTTCATATACTGCACCTCCTTCAAAAGCTCAACCCACGACAAATGTGCTCTGGGAATCTTTCCTTGACTCATCAGACTTGACAACTTAAAATGTAGTTCTTACCGACATTGTTCTGTTTTTGCAGGTATTTGGTATTGCTTTATATTACTCTCAAATAGTTTCACACAGGAAAGTTGTTTGTCCAGCTATATCATAAGCTGTAGGGATATCATCTATTTTTTATATTTCTCCATTGTGCTATGCACATGGTAGGTGTGAAATAAAATGTATGAATTTATAACAGTTTGGGAAAGGCTCTAGGATCCAAAGTCATGTGGAGGCAGTATAGGAAATATAAATAAAATATAGTGGCCACAGCTTAGACATTTATTGCATAATTCCAACAGAAAACTCACCCTATAAAAAAGTGGTGAGAGGCCCTCTTGAGTTTTTCCACTTATTTATATGTTTAAGAGGTTCTCCAAGACTTTCATGGAATGAAGATGTCAGGAGGAATATGAAGAAACTCAGCATGATCATTGATGGACTAAAAGGAAAAGATCATTCCAGGCACTTGGACCATGGTAAAAAACATAGGCATAGATATGAGTGAAAGGAAAAAAAAATCTAAATAGGATACTCAAGCAATAAGGCTGATTACAGCAAAGGATATCGTTAGTAGACTGCAAGAAGTCGATGATAGCATAGCTGTGGTAGTTGGGTCAGACAGCTGTAGCATTTCATATGAGTTAATAAGAGTAGTATGCTTTGTTAGCATATTTACTTAGAGGGCAGGCAAAAGACATACAGAGAAACTTAGTTTGTAATAAGATAAAGTTCATGGCACACAATTAAATGAAAAAATTTAAACTAAGGTACCCAAATCACCTTTTTCTATCAACTGCTCTGCTGTAATTCCTTCCCTGTATCATGGATGTGTGACATCCTATATGAAATATGTGACATCTTACACATAAAAGAATATGCTACGATTACATATACAAAGTATACTTTTGGCCATTTTTCTGGCCATGGTGATGGATTTTTCCTGATGCATTTACACTCTTTCTTGGTTTCCCGTGCGACATACATTTGTAGGGAAGTTGACAGAGCATAAAGGTAAAGTTTCTGGCTATGACCCACACAACAAAGCTAGCTGGTTCATGCGGGGACCAAGCTCGTGATCTCGGCCTCATGAGGGATAAATTCTCACAATGTATAGTGAACCAACATTAATTGCAAATAAATTGACTTATCTTGTGATCAAATCCCAACTTACCAGCATTTAGAATGAAGATAGAGAAACAGATGAAGGATGTTATATAAAATCCACCTTCTAACTCAGTAAGATATCCACCGACCATAGGACCCAAAATAAAACCCACATTCGATGCTGTATTAAATTTTCCTATTACCAGTGGGCGCTCTCTCTCTAAAACCAGATCTGAAAGAAGAGCTCTTGAGATTGAGAGCGTGTGCTTGAATATACCTACAAGTTGAGATGGAGAATGGTTTAGTAACATTTCCCAAAATGAAAGCATTTCATTTCCTGTCCTGTATTTAATCTCAATTACCACAAAATATTCTACTTTCAAATAGCAAACATATATATGGCTAAGAATGTCTGGCTAGGTTTCATTTGTATGAACACAATATCTGTATTTAATTAGAAAAAAATGAAATATTCATGAAAAAGGATAGAAAACCTTCTTCTACCCATGAGTGAAGTATGCTAATTTAACAATACGTAATAAAATACAGGTGCACTTTTAACACTAATGTTTACCAGAACAATTTCTGGCAAGCCTTTAAAGCATTTGGAATGTACAAACTTAAAAACTACAATGAACTTTTACTAAAAAGTTCCTTACGTGGAAAAGGCAAGGCTATGTAAGATTCGCAGCTTCCCCTTCAAAAGAGAAAGTGGTTTCTGGAAAGGCTTTTGGTAATTCTAGCTGCCCTGCCTTGGTCCTAGCTAGGACTGGAGAGAACCCACAATCCTCTTTATCTCCCACACTGCTGAAATCAATTCCCTGAATGCTCTGGTGGGTGCAGTGTTGCTCATTCCTTGTCAAGATGGAAAGAGCACCCAACAGATTTGGAAATCAATGATCTGGTTTGAAACCCGATTCTGCTGCCTACTACTTATGTTATACTTCAGCAACTGCTTATCTCTGTGCAGTTTCCCTCTTTCATCTACCTTTCAGTTCTCGTCATCTGTAAAATAAGGGTGTTGGCCTTCTAGGTCCTATACAGTTCTAAATCCCATGCTCTGTGGCTAGTTTCTGCTCCTGCCAAGAAATATGAAAAGGACCTTTGGACAAAACAATTTGTGTTCTTTGTTCAGACTCTCTCCTGAGTTCTGACCACTGGTACTGCCTTGGGCTCACAGCTCTAGAGCAGGAAGGCACCTCACGGGCCATCTAATCCAAATCTATTATTTTATCTTTGAGAAAACTGAGGCCTGAGAAAGTTCAGGGACTCGCCCCAAAGCCACTGAGCTAGTAAATGACAGAGGTAGAATCTGAACCCAGATCCTCTGAATGCAAAGCCAGCATCCTTTCCTGTGCACCACATTGCTTCCATAAAAGTGTATGACCTCCTGTGTGACTTCTTGCCTTTTGCCCCACCCCACCAAAAGTGAAAAACTGCAGACCTGTGCGGTCTGAATTCCTTACTCTGTGCCAGACCTGTCCTGATCTCTTGCAATGGTGGTGCTCAAAATCCTTCCTGGTGCTCCTGGTCTTGAGGCACCAACAGACACCTATGCCACAATATTTGTTTCAAAACATTATTTATGTGAGAAAAACAAATGACATTGCAGATGGTGGGGAGGGGCTGGCAACTTCAATGGCACCAACTGATTTTCTACCTAAATGGGGGGCTTCTTTGAGATTTTGAAAACTTAAAAAAACTTTTAAAAGGAGAAATAAAACACAGCATTCTTGCATCTGTCTACTCTACATGCTGGTCTACCATTCTCAACTGTTATTGCTATGGAGATGCATAACCTAAAACGTAAAGAATAATTATATAACTCAAGATTATTCTCTGCATGTGGTAGGAGTTCAATGAAAACTAGTGAATGATTGAGCCACGGTACCACTAACTGATACACAGACACAAAAGTTGTAGACTATTTATATAAAATTTAAATTCAGTGCTCAGTATGTAATTATGCCCACAGATGCTTAATGAAGATAAAAAACAAAAGGTGGTATTCACTTCTTACTATAGTATCAATGTAGTAAAAAGATGAGGTATGACCATGTCACATCCTTGCTCAAGAAACTTCAATGATTCCTATTACTTCTAGGCAAAAACAGAGCCTTCTGTTGGGTAAGCAAAGGCCAAACTGAACTACTTCTCTGCCTATCCAGGGCGCCACCTTTCTCTCAGTCACCCAGCTTACCCCCCGAGCTATCATACTCAACTTCTCCCTCTCTTTCATGTCCCATCCCATCTGTCTCCAAGTCCTGCTGATTTTACCTTCCAGACACCTCTAACATCTGTGCCCTACTGTCCTCTGACTCTGCCACCACCCTAGTGTAGGCCGTCCTCACCTGATACCTGGACTACTGCACTAGCCCACTGGGAGGCCTCCCTGCCTCAGGTCACTCCTCGCCCTCCTCCATCCTTCATATCACCTCCCTAACTGAATAAACTCAATAAATGTTTCAGGATGAAGTATAAAATACTTTGGTGGGCTTTTAAAGTCCTTCACTACCTGATCCCAAATATTTTAGTCTTCTGTTGCTACTGGTCTCCTTGCTCTTCCTCATACACGCTGCCTCCTCTGACTCCATGCATTTCCCCTGGTTGTCCCACATGCCTAGAATGCTGTTCCTCTTTCTCTCAGCCTCCTGTCTCACCTGGCCTTCCTTCAACTCTCAGCTAAAATCCTACTTTCTGCAATAACCCTTTTCCCCCTATTAACAACTACCTTCTTTTTTTGAGATAACCTCCAATGTACTCTGTATAAATCCTATATGTACATAACTGTATGCATATGTATCCCCCATTAGAATGTGAGCTAATTAAGGCAGGGGCTGTTTTTATCTTTCTTTATATTCCCAGCTACAAGATACTATGCTAAAATTATCTTTCCAGACCAATTGCACATTAATCTCTCTTCATTCCAGACAAATGGACCTGTTTTCTGTTCCCTGAATACAACATTTCATGTCCTGTCTTCTATGTCTATGAACAGACTGTCTCCATGCCTAGAATAGTGTCCCTCTTACCTTAGGCTCAGCCCTTTCATCTGCTCAGCTCAAGTGCATCCCACAAAAGGTCTTTTCCTGATCCTCTTACTTAATAGTGCCGGGGCACTTCCCTCCCATGCTCCCCCAGTTCTCATAGGCGGCAGCTAGGTGGTGCAGTGGATAGAGTGCCAAGCCTAGAGCCAGGAAGACTCTTCTTCCTGAGTTCAAATCTGGCCTCAGACACTTACTAGCTATGTGACCCCAGACAAGTCACTTAACCATCTTCGTCTCAGTTTTCTCATCTGTAAAATAAGCTGGACAAAGAAATGGCAAACCACTCTACTACCTTTGCCAAGAAAACCCCAAATGAGATCATAAAGAGTTGGACCCAACTGGAAAACTTTCAAAAAACAGTAACAACCATTCCCACAAATAATCTTGTAATTTACATTTACTTTTCTGTGTATATATTGTTTTTTCCTCACTCCCTGCTCATGTGAAGAATTTCAGTTTCTTGAAGACAAGGATTGTTTTTTTTTCTCTTGCAGCCCTAAAGACTAGACCAGTGTCTAGAATATCAGCAGAACTTAAATGCTTGCTGAATTAAACCAAATTGAATTAAAGAGATTAATTCCTCCTGTATCTGGAAGAGTTGGGCTATAGAAGGAAACGTATGTAAGCAAACTGGGAGTGACATCACTTTTCCTGTGTTGTCTGTATGTGGTGGAGTGCTGGCAGCAAAGGATAAGTAGCATATATTTAAAATCCAAGACCAGAAGTAAAACTCTGCAAAGGAATTCCCCATTACAATATCTGAGAATACTCTTGCCATGCACTCTATTTCCATGGGATGCCAAGTACTGCAGGAGTAGCTTGGATATTAAAGGACATTTATTTAGAGGTACTAATATAGCACCATGATATTATCTCTATTCACAATACAATAATTTCACATTTATAAATGAAATCATGAATAAACAAGGAATATTCTCTAAGGTGATTTGAAGCAGGATTCTAGTCCCTGTTTTCTGTTGCACTTCTACTTACTTACAGTAATATCAAAAATTTCCTACAGAATGATGGGGAAATGTTTCATACAAATACTATAAACTTAGTCAGTATACAGACATTATGGATATGTGATAAAAATAAGAAGAAATGAACTCAATTTGTTTTTTTTCCTTATTATCATCAATTGTCTTCAAAATCATGTATTGCTATAATATCTCCTTTATCCCCACATCCCAACACACACAATTTTTTCCTAAGTGAGGTTTCAACATAAAGACAAAAATATATTTATGGATGGTGAAAATAGACTTTTGGCATAATATATTTTATTGACCACTGTTATAGAATGCTGTGCTAAAACTGTTCACTGAGCTACATTCATTCTTTAATGAGTGAAACTGAAACCTGATGATTCAAAAGAAATGTGACTTATGCTCCATTTAATCCAGGTTGTAACTAGAAGCATACAGTTTTCCAAATACAGAAAAAAGGAAACCGTGAATTTGAGCGAGTTTAAAATTTATCTCGGAGAAATGAAATAAAAAAGAGATCCTCACTAGAACTAGCCACCCTCAGACAAAGTTTGGTCTAAGACAAAGGCGGTAAACATTTGTGTATTTGTGTCATGGACCCCTTTTTCCACTCTGGTAATGCCTATAGATCCCTTCTTAGAATAAAGTTTCTAATGCATAAAATGGAATATATAGGATTACTAAAAAAATCAATTACATTGAAATGTAATTATCAAAATACTTTTTAAAAAGTTCATGGACCCCAAGTTAAGAACCTCTGGTCTAAGGGATTAAAAGTAACTAAGTACTGGCATGGAAAACTAATCTTTGGTCCTCTATATCCATTTTCAACAATAGCAACTAATAATAGCTAAGTCTACATAAAAAGTTTTCAAGCTGAAGACAAGCCACACCAGTGGACCTGTGGTTGAAGCTACATGGCCCACCTGGGAACCTAGAAACTCCTAAAGGGGAGGGTTATCTTCTACAGATGCCTAGGACAGGGTGGCACGTACCAGGTGTTGAGCCAGTACAGGTTCACTGACGTCCTAGGCAATGGCACCAGGGGACAAAGAGGCATAATGCAGTAATCTGAGACAGATTAATCTGAGACAAACAGAAGTATGTGGCTTATGAGTCAAAGAGGCAGAAACAAAGACAAGAGCAGGTAAGACTAGGACCTATGGGGATACAGACTATATAGACAGAAGAAAACTCTCAGAAGCAGCATCTGGAGGAGGAGGAGGAGGGATAAGAGACAATATGGAATATACAAGAAACTTACCAACAGGAATTCTAGCGATGGCAACTAAGAGGACACTGGAGGATATGCCCAGGAGGAGATAACCTAAAGCACTGAGCAGAATACACACAAGCAATGAATACTGTCTTCCTACTACATCACTCCAGCAGCCCTGCAAAAAGTAAGTTAGAGGCCTGAAAACTTTAAATACACACACATCTATATACCTGCACACATATAAATATGCATGCATATATGTTTTATGAGCATTTATTTTCTCTCTCCCCTCTCCCAGACCCCACTGAACAATTAAAATAAAAAAGCTACCAACTCCTCTTCCCTCACAAACAAAACACCAACAAAAACAAAATCACTGCATAACAAATACGCATAATGAATTCCTACATTGGTCATTTCCAAAAATTTGTCTTTCTGTATCTTAAGGTCATCACCTCTCTGGTAGGAGGTGGGTGGTGTGATTAATCTTCAGTCTTCTGGATTTATGATTTATTCTTGCATTAATCAGAATTTCAAAGTTGTTTTCCTCTATAATATTGTCATTGTACAAATTGTTCTCTTCTGATAACTCTGCATCAGTTAATGAGGTATTTCCAGCTTCCTCTGAAGATATATTGTCAATTCTTACAATTCACAAAACAATATCCCATAGCATTCACATAACATTATTTAGTTTTTAATTAGCCATTCCCCAATAGGTGGCTACATCCTTAGTTTCTCTTAGTTTGGGGCTACTATGAAGTGAGTTGCCATATATATTTTTGCATATACAGGTCCTTTTTATTTATTTTTTATTTATCCCTTTGGGATATAGGATTAATGGCATGGTCAAAGGGTATGGACAGTTTAGTAACTTTGGAAGCATAGCTCCAAATTGCTTTTCATAATAGCTGAATCTATTCACAACTCTACCAACTATGCATAAGTGTGAGGCCCAACCTAAATAAATGATAATTTAGATATACTTTACCCCTGGAAATTGTGTTTGTAGTATTCTTTCTGTGTAAAGAAGCACAAGTCTTCTGTGGACATTTTTCTTTTTGTATAAAAAAACACATGTCTTTTGTGGTTGGGTGATATGGGGGAAAGCTTTGGAAAACCTAGATTCAAGATTCTAAGACTTTCATCTGTGGGAAAAACAACGTTCCCTATACCATGGCTTTTATATCAGTATTAAATTTTTTTAAATGGGCAGAAACACTTATTACTAGAAAAAATCAAAGGAATATCCAAGAAGGATCTTTCAGATAAAAAGAGGCATGTAAAAAGTAGCGACTGAATGATTCATGAGGCCTGCTCTGGTGGGTGCATAGGCATATGCCCCCTAACATCATTAACTGGTTCTGTGAAAACAAATCTTAATATGGGACAGTTAGTTAATGCCTTAGGAAAAGATGATACCTTCCTGGTAGAGACAGTAGGGCATAATGGAAAGAACACTGGACTGGGAGTTAGATGACATTACAAACAAAGCTCTGCCACTTACTAGCTGTGTGACTTCAGTAAGTCACTTCACTGCTATGGGACTCATGTTAACTGTAAAATGAAAGGGTCAGACTGGATGACCTCTGAAATCACTGCCAGCTTGAAATTCTACAATCTTTGGGGGAGAGTTACAAGGTAGGTGCTGTCTCACAGAAGTGTGGGTGACTTGGCTGAAGACAAAGCTCTCTGGTCAGGGAATATTAGGCAGGTGGGGATGAGCAGGAACCAGCTGATCTACTAAAGACTGAGAAGCTTCCGAGTGATTTTTTTTGAAAGTTAATTGGGAATTGGTAACATACAATGATGTTGTTGTGAAAAGATGTGAGTTAGGGCAAGTATCTTCAGGGTATGCCTGTGTTACAATAAACAATTTTCTTCCTGAAAATCGTCACTTCCACCTACTGATTTGATATGATTAGGAATTTATTAACCTAAACTTTATAGTGCTGTCTTTGTACTTCCATTCAAAAGATATACATTATTAACATAACACTTAAGACCCAAGTTCAAGTTCCCCCCATGACACATAGGTGTATAACAATAGGCAAATCCTTTAACCTCTCAGTGGCCCAGACAACTAAGATTATGAGTTTCAGAGAAGTCATTAGATATCTGCACTGGTCCAGGGGGTTCCCTCAAAGGGGAACTCCCTATAACAATAAAATTAAAAGCCTGGATCTTAACCCCACCTTATTCCACAAAGTGTAAGAACATGCATCTTTTACTTTTTTAAAAAATGGGCTTCTCACAAATAAAATACTGTTTTGGAAATGTCCATTAATCAGTATCTTTTAAGTTATTTATTGGCTTAAAATTTTAATTGGTAATTTCTATGAACAAGGTAATGAAGAACACTGGATTTTAAATAAATAGACTTGAATTCAAGTCCAGGTCGTCACATTGACCAGCTGTGTAACCTTGGGCAAGTCACTAAACTTGTCTGGCCCTCAGTTTTCTCAGGCTGATTTTAAAGTTTCTCAAGTTTTAGCAGTCTATGATTCTAAATACAACCATTAAAAAGGAAATCACAGGCCAATAAACCAAAAGGCCAAATTTGGAGGAAAAACAAAAAAAATGGGGGCAGATCTAAGATGATTTGTTGCTGCTGTACAGTCGTGTCTGACTTTTTATGACCCCATTTGGGCTTTTCTTGACAAAGACACTGGAGTAGTTTGCCATTTCCTTCTCCAGGTCATTTATAGATGAGGAAACTGAGGTAAACAGAGTCACAGAGCTAGTAAGTATCTGAGGTCAGATTTGGACTCAGGAAACTGAATCTTCCTAGTCCTCGGCCCAGCATTTTTAATCCCTTGTGCCACCTCATTGCCCACTTACACTAAACTGTAATTCAAATTCCTGTCTTACATGAAAATGAAACATTACATGGAATCCTTGAAAGAAGAACATTATTCTTCTATTATAAATTGACACTTTAATATATATATATATATATATATATATATATACCTTTTTTCAAAACACTGAGGAACGCCTTAATCGAATGAATTCCTATAAGGATACAGTCATTTAAATTCTACAATATGTAGAAATTCACATTTATTTACCAGTAAAATTAAGTTAAGGGTTACCAAATTTGTTTTATAAAAGTATTAATAAGGATTCTTTCAATACCAAGCTTTCTTGGTGCCTTTAAAATAGGATTAGATTTTTAAAACTGATTTAGATGTATTCTTTTAGGAACATATCTATTGCTTATAGCTGATCAATAAACATTTGTCTACCAGACTGACCACTTTAATTGAACTCAATGGTCAAGCAATTGGTAAGAATGACTTTCTTATTGAAAATGGCCAACCATTTGACTAAAATGACTGGTTATTAGGCAGCATGTGGGCAGAGTCCAAAAGAATAAGTATGCCTAAAAAGTGGATCTTTTTTTTTTTTTGGCTAAGCAATGGGGTTAAGTGACTTGCCCAGGGTCACACAGCTAGTAGGTGTTATGTGTCTGAGGCCGGATTTGAACTCAGGTCCTCCTGAATCCAGGGCCGGTGCTCTATCCACTGCACCACCTAGCTGCCCCAAAAGTGGATCTTACACAGAACTTTGCATCAGAAAAAAATTCCTATGAAGTGAGAAGATTAGAAGATTAATAGTAGGTGGGGAAACAATAACTCTATGTATTAAAAAATACCTGATCTCAAATTTAAAAGTAAGGTTTGTGATTTAAATGAGAAAGTGATGTTATGTGATTAAAATGAAAAAGTCTTGTCTTCAGCCCATCTTCCACATCTAGATGTTTAGAAATTCACCTAGACTTTTTTTTAGGAAGATACTATCCTGCTTTCAGAAAAAGAAATACCCATTGCTAGTGTCTTAGGATATAGGAGTTTAAGATCACAACAGAGGCAGGCATGGTTATTTCATTATTTTACCACATCAGCTGTATTGTCAAAGAAGAACTCAGAATATGCTTCCTACATGAATATTTTAAAAGACTCAAGATTTCATTCCCATGGATACTTCTTCCAACAATGCAGAATGTCTTTTTAGATGATCTTTATCGGTTTCATCTGGTGGCCAGTCCTCTGGTAGCTTGTCTTTCTGAATTTAGCTAGGCTGGTCCTCAACTCACTGATACAAAGTCTGTCACAGGCCATCACCTGAAGCTTTTCCAGCTTGGTACGGCTTGACAGAGCTTTTGTGCTCTGCTGGGATAGCCTTCAACAATCTCCATCATCAAATTTATTTGCTAAAGTTGTAAAATTATAATAGAAACCTAAAGGTCACCTCTATGATATAATGAGACAGAAAAGAAAGGCTTTAGCTACATATATATTTTAGGCACATTTAATTTTTTTTCAAATTAATCTAAATTTCCTTTTTTTAATACTAATCCTTACCCTTTCTCCAATTGCTAAGGAAAAGTCAGGTTACAAATTACATTTCTCTGTAGGTTGACTATCAAAATCATTTTTAAAAATCTTTCACTTTCCTTTTACATGTTCATATTTCCCTTGATAGACAGTTTCTGTCCATTTCCCCAGTTTATGAAAAACTTAATCAGGGATGTTAAAATGCAAATCTCTAGTGGAAAAGGTGAACATATCTAAAGCAGGTTGGAGTGTTAATTTCTGACATAATGAAGATAGCTAGGGGTTATGAGACCAGGCAATTTGAAAAGTATCCTTCTAATAATGTGTCCAGTATGCTAATCATGAACACTAATATTTCCATGGGACTTGAAGATCATAAAACACACTTGAATGGATTGGGCTGTGAGGTCAAAGGAGAGAGATAGATCCAGTTCTGCTCAAACTATTCCTTTAACTGGTTCAACACTGATAAAAAACACTCAATAAAAATCTCGGATACCACATCTTCAGTGAGTTGATTCATGAGCAAAGGTCTTTTACTATAATTACGTAATAGAATCAAGCAACCAAGCATTTATTGTGTGTACTGTGTGCCAAGTAATGTACTAAGGAAAGAAACGCAAAAATGAAGTCGTCTCCACTCTCAAGGAGTTTAAATTAGGTTGGTATTTTTCAGTTGTCTGACTCTTTGTGACCCCATTTGGGGTCTTCTTGGTAAAAATACTGGAATGGTTTGCTATTTCCTTCTCCAGCTCACTTTACAGATGAGGAAACTAAGGCAAACAGTGTTAAGTGATCTGCCCAGGGTCACACAGCTAGTAAGTGTCTAAAGCCAGATTTGAACTCACGAAAATGAGTCTTCCTGGCTCTAGGCCTGGTGCTCTATCCACTGCACCACCTAGCTGCCCCATAAATTATATTAGGGGATATAAAACAAATGTGTGTACATGTATACATGTGCACATGTATGTATGTATGCATGTATCCATTTATCTATGTAGATTGATATAGAGATAGAAATATATAGATATAAATATGTAAGTGGTTTAAATGCCAAACGAACAGCCTTTGACCAGAGAGAGCCACTAGAACAGAAACCTGCATATAAATATATGTATATGTAATATATATATATATATATATATATGTAGACACACATATATGCATATGCATATACATGGATATGGATACATACATACTACATGAATATCACAGAAGTCTAGTTAATATTTCAGCCATCACAAACAAAATTTTGACTCTAATGATATAGTCTGAAGTGTTCAATTTTAATCTGAGTCCTAATATTCCAAGAAGATTTGATGATTTCTTATTAATTTAGATTTTAAAAAAGAACAGTAATTAAACTAATTTGTGAATAAGTCATAAATGTTACTGTACCAATGAAAATTGTCCTCAACTTATCAACAGGCACACCAGTATGTTTTAAAGATGCAATGGTAGAACTGAAGGTAAACTTACCACTACTGTGCTAGAAAAGAGCTGTAGAACACCATAGAGGGATCCTGAAATAAAATATAACAGTAGTATAAATCAAGGAGGACAGGAGTCATCATAGAGCTGACTTAACCAGTTCCAGAGATCAACAGAAAGTATACCAACAAAAGGGTATGATTACTAAATATAATTTAGGACAAGCAGAAGGAAAAATAAAGGGGCTGGGGGGCTCAAATTAAGAGAATGAAACAGTCATGATGCCTGAACAGCAAGTTGGAGAAATTTTGATTTATGTGCTGAAGAAGTGCAGTGAAGAGTAAAAATTCCTGAATTTGAAGGAGGCTTTAGCACGCTGGGCAACATGAAGACTCTTCTGTATGTGTAATTAATTTACAGTTGCTGGGCTTTGTATAAAAATCCCTACCTGAGTGAACAACTTGAGCAAGACTTTTTTAACAGACATTTTTTTTCCTCATTGTGAATTCAAATCATGGCAATGTATGAAGTTCGAAAAAAATTTTTTTAAAAATGTCTATACTGTCACAGTAGCCATTTTTGACACCATCAGTCTCTTATTCCTATCTGTAGGTGTGTTCCCCCTATTAAGATTATTGCTATATTAACTTATTTTATGACTCTGAAATGAATGACTTCTTTATGTTTTTTGTTGGGGGGGGAGGTGAGGTGAGGGGGAGGGTCTATAGTCCCCTTATGAGTAGAGATTTTCCTCTGATAACCACCTACATGCAAAAGCTTTTCAACTGGTTTTTCCTGCTTCTACTTTTCTCCTCTTTCTTCATACTTCTGCCACAGTCCTCCTCCTCCTCCTCCTCCTCCTCATCATCATCATCACCACCATCACCACCACAATCGCCATCCTGTGTCTTCTCAGGTCACTGCTCAGAAATCTTCAGTGAATTCCTACTAACTAATGTGGAAAGCTCAAACTTTTTTTTGCCTGGCATTCCAGGGCTTTCCCTGTTACCATTGGCTATCAACAATTTATATTTGTATAGATTTCCTTGGCATTGTTTGTTTTTATATCACATAGATTTCCTGCTCTATCTCTCCCCTTACCCTCTTCCAGACAGCCATTGCTTATATAACAAATTATATAACATATTTTAAGAGGAAAAACAGAAAAACAAATCAGCAAAACCGGTCAATATTTCAAAAACATTTGATATTACACTCAATGTTCTACACTTGTGGACCTCCACATCTGCAAAGGAGTGAGGGAAAATGTCCAGACAGCTCCTGTTATTCCCTTCTAGGCACCTTATACTCCACCCAAACTGGAGTAATCTCTGTTTCCCAAATATGTCATTTGATTCCCAATACTTAAAATCTACCCCTTCCTTCTTTTTACCTGTGGAAATCATACTCTTTAAAGCTCAATTCAAATGCCACCTCTTTCAAGACTTCCTTGACCTTCTGTTGTCAAAAAGAAACTAGACCTCAAGGAGTTCATACCACATAAAGCACATAGTTTTTGCAACTCTAATATATTTAGCATATAATACTGTGCATTAAATATATCCATGTCTGAATAACTGTGCAGTATAGAAGACAAAGAAAAGGCTTCTGACTCAGGAAAGGGGATCAAGTCTTCAGTCTGACATACTGACTGTGTGGCTCTTGGCACAGTGCCCTAGGCAACTCTGTGAGACTAGACATTGAAGAGAAGGTGCTAACTTGAATTGGTAGAGGGGTTTTCCTCAGCTGGGAAGAAGCTAGGTGGCACACCAGAGTGCTGATTCAGTAAGATTTGAGTAGAAATTCGGCTGCAGACACTTATTAGATGAATGATTCTGGTCAACTAATTTAGCCACTTTCTGCCTGTTTCCTCAACTACAAAATGGGTTGTTGTGAGAATTAAATGAGTTAGTTGTGAAACACTTAATATACTTCCTGGTACATAGTGGGTACTTAACAAATACTTGTTCCTTTTGATTACCCATTCCCCAAAAGAATTCTATCAATGAAATCACAGGTAGTCCCTATCCTAACCTAGATATGTGCCTTAACCTTTCCTGAACTGAAACCCTAGGAGGACAGAGATCAGGTCTTATCTAAACTTTGTACCTTCCCCAAGGTCTAATACCATGCTTTATCCACAATTCAGTATTTGTCGGGCTGAACTGTTCAATTGAAAACACAGTTCTACAAATTGTACATACTCAACAAACACTTGATGAACGGCTTAGCCACCAAACTAGAGAAAGATAGGATACTTGCTCCAGGATCATACAGCTTTAAACATATCTGAGAAATGATCTTTTTACTACTTAGCTGCTGAATAGCAATGATTCATAATCTACACTTGTTTTTAGTTTATTAACTTATATCACTTACCTACTACTCCTGCGGTCGTTGGGCTTGCCCCGAGGGATTTGATATGAACACTTAATAAAGGAACTATCATGCTTACACCAAAAAAATCCTAAAAGAAAACAGACCATGCTTTCATTAATTCGATGAATGCTAGAATCTGCTGAGAAGCTTTGGAATTGTGGATCTAATACTAGGTAAAGTCCCTTCCCTTTTTATTCCACAAACATCTGGAATTTCTAACAAAATACCAATTTTTTGCTCTAACTCTTTTGAGATACCACTAACATTTATCAAATTCTCAATTTGTAAATGACAGATTTACCATGTCCTATAATGCACTTTACCTTTAGCTCCTTCTAGCTTTCTTCACAAACACAAACACCATTATTTCACAAACACATAACACCATTATCATTCACTGGGAATGTATTTTAAAAGTATCTCAAAAAGAGCTATCGCATGAATATAGTACTTACTATAAAAAGAGAGGGGGAGTTCAAGCAGAGCCTCCCTCTTCCCACCTTTTTCCTCACAAAAGGAAAAGAGTATAGAACAAATGAGGGAATACTAGATTTCTGACCAGTCTAACAGGGAGAGAAGAGCAGGTGATCTTATCACAAATCCTTATGGCAAATCCTCGGTTGGTGGAAGGGAATGAAGAACTTAAATGAGGATATCACTGTGAGCAAAGGAAGAAGGATGGAGTCATAACAAGAAGGCAACAGATGGGGAAAGGAAGAGGCCCTAAGTAGCAAGTTTTTAGGCCAGATAAAGGATTATTTTCTTGCTAAGGCTTCCACCCCCAGGGCTACATAACTTCAGGTCACAAGCTACAAAGAGACAATAATAGGCTTCTTCCTAACCCTCCTCCAGTACTGTAAATAGAAATTTTGATGCATAAAAAGTAGAGAAAACGAGGACCAGAGCTGGCAAAGGGCATACTGAGGGAGATTGCTTTCAGCCTCCAAATCTAATCTGCACATTGCCTACCAGATTTCAAGTAAATCCCTTGAAGACAAGAGCAGTATCTTACTTACCTTGGTGTTTTAGACAGTGTCTTGTAAAAATGAGGCACTCAATAAACATTTCTTTAAATGATCAAGTAAGTGGCGTTTACCCAAGTCATACCTTAAGAAAAATTAAGCCCTGGAACCTTGACAAATTTCCCCAAGACTTAGGCTTTGTTGGTCAGTCATTTTTCAGGCATTTCTGATCCTTTGTGACCCCTTTTGGGAATTTCCTTGCAAAGATATTGGAGTGATTTGTCATTTCTTTTCTAGCTCATTTTACATATGAGGAAACTGAGGCAAACAGAGTTAAGTGACTTGCCTAGGGTCAAACTGCTAGTAACTGAGGCTGGATTTGAACTGGGAAGATTTCCTGAGTCCATACCCAACACAGTATACACTGCACCACCAGGCAGTGGCTGCTAAATAATAAATGACAACTTCCCATTTTCAGTCCAGTCTCCGAGGAAATTATTGACTCTATTGTTTACAAAAATGAAAAAAAAAATCCTGTTATTCTGTTTGGAAGTTAAATCCAGGTCTCCACAAATTATGGATTAATTTAAGGACATGTGGATTTTCTTTAACTGATAAATAGGTTTTTGAATTTAGGGATATTAAAGTTATAAAGCATGTAAATGTTAAAAATTATCTTGTAGCAGAAAGACCACTGACAATGGAGTCAAAAGACATGGGTTCAAACATGACCTCTGATGATTACTAATTTTATGACAAGTCAACCAATTAATTAGCAAATAATCAGTACCTAGTATGTATCTGGCATTGTGCTAGGTACTGGGGATAACAAACACAAAAAAAATGAAATAACCTCTACTTGAAATGAGCTTACATTCGAATGAGGGAAACAAATACACATAAAGATAGAGTGTAAAGAGGAAGGGAATAAATATAATAATATATAAAGTACTTCAGGAGGACAAGGACTACCAGTTGGAGGGATCAGGAAAGGCTTAAAGCAGAAGATAATGCCTGAGTTTTGTCTAAAAGGAGAAGAGTGATTCTGTGAGGAAGATTAAGGAGGCAGTATATTCCACATGCAATAAGGCCAGTGCAAAGGTCTGGAAATGTCCTCTACTGGAACAAAGAGAACTGTTTGGCTGGATTGATTAATGTATGAGGAAGAGTTATGTCTAACAACGTTGCTAAGATATGTTCAGGCCAAGATATGTTAAAATATGTTGTGCTGGACTTTAAAAACTAAACAAAGAAATTTATACTTTATCTTGGGACACAGGTGTTTAACTGGAACCTTTAATATTTTGGGGGATAACTATTTCAATATAACTCTTTTCCTTTATAATTCTATTATAAGCATTTAAAAACATTATTTTGAGTAGGGGTCCAAAGTTTTACCAGACTGCCAAAGAGATCTATGGCACAAAAAAAGGTTAACATCCCATCTTTTTTAAAAAAGTTAATTAATTTATTTAATTTTAGTTTTCAACACTGACTTCTTTAAGATTTTGAGTTCTAAATTTTCTCCCCTCCCCCCTCCAAGACGGAGTGCAATCTGAAATAGGCTCTACATATATATTCATATCATCACATTAGTCATGTTGTAAAGAAGAATTAGAACCAATGGGAGGAACCACCAGAGGGAAGAAACAACAACCACAACAAAAGAGCAAATGGTATGGTTCGACCTTTGTTCAGGCTCCATAATTCATTTTCAGGATGTTGTTCATCATGGGTCTTTTGGAGTTGTCTTAAATGAGTTAAGATCCCATCTTAACGGACATAGGAAGCCCCTAGAGTTTACTGAGTTGGGAAGTCACATGGTTATAACCGTGCTTAAGTAAAATTACTGTGGTGGTTGTATCTAGGATGGACTGAAGTGAGAGCCTGGAGAACTGGAGAACAATGATGAAGTTTCTGCACCAATCTAGACCTGACAGAAACTTGGCTGGGACAGGGGCTGAAGTCCTTCTCTAGCAAGGGAACTGGGCAGGGGGCACCTCCTGCATGGTCTTCAGCATCCCGATTTCCTCTAGGGATACTAGGGGTGTGATGATGATACTCTGCCAAAGGACCAAGGAGGCAGACCTGACTTGGAAGTGGAAAAGACTACAGCTGAGGTTATGAATGGAGATGGTAATGAAGGATGAAAACCAAGAAATCGGCCTTTCTCTGGACCTTAATTAGGGAACTAAGATTGGGGGCAGGAAGAACAAAGAGGGAAGCAGTTGCAAAATAAAGTGAATTCAGTAGCCTCAAACTCAAATAGAAAGGGATCCTTAGCAGCCTCCCACAAATTAACAATATCCATGTTGTAATGTATTTTTATTTATTTTGGTAAACACCTCCCGATTAATTTTAATCTGGTTTGAGTCTCATTTAGGAGTTTTGTTCCTGTTTTTTTTTCTTTCTTTTCTTCTTTTGTCACCATGGAGTTTGACACCGCAGGATGATCTCGAATTCGAATTACCCTTAACAAACGCTTGAACTATGATCCTGTGGCGTCTGATTTGGAGATAATCAATCCATGGCAAGGTTTCCCTATGACCTGCCTGGTGGAGTTTCCATTCTAGGAGCCATCTCCGCATGTGTGTTAATTGTGGTTTTTGATGTTGTTCAGTCGTGTCAGACTTCTCACTTGCGGTTTTCTTGGCAAAGACACTGGAGTGGTTTGCCATTTCCTTCTCCAGCTCATTTTACGGATGAGGAAACTGAGACAAACAGGGTTAAGTGCCTTGCCCAGGGTCACACAGCTAGGCAGCGTCTGGGGCCACATTTGAATTCGGGCCTTTATAACTCCAGGCCCAGTTTTTTTGTCCACTGGGCCACCTAGTTAACAGCTGTCAACTCACTTGGGAAACAGCTGTCGCCCTCTCCCCACAAAGCATCTACTGCACGGTTCGCTGCATCATTTCTAGGCACCCCAGACCCTCCTACCATGCCTAGTCATTAAGTGCTGGGACTTTTTAACCTTAAAGCAGGTGAGTCGGAAGGATGCAGGGGAGGGCACGGAGCTAGGGAGAGAACTGGGGTGAAATGAAGGCTGTTGGGGCCCTGCTCCCAGCGCTCCGCTCCCCCCCCCCTGCAGCGGCGGCTCCGTTTGCGCCCACCACCTCCAAGCCGCCCTCCCCGGGACTCACCAGGAAGCCCACCAGGTAGAGGTAAAGCAAGAAGCTGCGGGGCCCGCGGCCGGCCCGAGCCGAGGTCCCCGCCTCCTCCCGCGGCTCCGCAGGCCGGGGCTCTGCTCGGGGAGCAGCCGCCCCCATCCTCCATCCAGAGAGGACCCCAGCCTGGGTGCGCAGCGAGAAGAGGGGGGACGCTGCAGCAACCGGGGGCAGCCTGCGGCCGAGATGCGAATCCAGCTGCTCTGCTCCGCCCCGGCTCTGGTTCAGCCCCGCCTCTAGCGGAAGACAAGCCGAGGGCGGCGCCTGCGCACTGGGCACTCCCGTGGCACAGCCGTCCTGGCAGCCCCGGGGCCCGGGAGTGGCGCAGCCAGCTCGGGACCAGGTGCAGCGGCGGGGAAGCTGGCGCAGGGGCTTGATTCTGCAGCCGCAACCTGTCTGCAAAGAGCACTGCCCTGCCTGCCGCTGGAAGGAAGGGGAGGTGATAAGCATTGATTAAGCACTTCCTGTTTGCACTGTATAAATCTAAATAACACTTCGCAAATAGTATCTCATTTGAACCTTACAACAGCCCTGGCAGGTAGGTACTGTTATTATTCCTATTTTATGGTTGAGGAAGGTGAGACTGACAGAAGTGACCCTCCCTGTTGGGTTTTTTTCCCCCAGTTTTATTTTTATTTTCAGTTCCAAATACTCTCCCTCCCCCACCCATTAAGGAGAGAAGAATTACAATATTTGTTCTATGTATGGAGTCAAACAAAACATTTTCCCGCATGAGTCATATTCCAATCCCACCTCTCCAACCAAAAAAAAAAGTCAAGAAGAGGAAAACAATATGCTTCAATCGGCATTCAGAAATCCATCAGTTCTCCCTGTGGAGGTAGATAGCATTTTTCATTCACAGGTTTTTTGGAATTATGGTGGATCATTGTATTGATCAAAGTTATGCCTTTCACAGTTTATTATCCTTACAACAGTGTTGTGGCTGTGTACATTGTTCTCTTGGGACTGCTTCCTTCACTGTTGCATCAGTTCGTAAAAGCCTTCCCAGATCTTTCTGAAGTTGTCCACTGATCATTGTATTGATCAGAGATACTAAGTCTTTCATATTTTATTATATAGACAATATTGCTGTTACCATGTAAATTGTTCTCCTGGTTCTGCTCCCTTCACATTGCATCAATTTATGTAGGTCTTCCCAAGTTTTTCTGAAACCATCCCCTTCAACATTTCTTACAGCACAGCAGTATTCCATCACATTTATATATATGACTTGTTTAGTCAATTCCCAATTGATGGGCATTCCCCAAATTTCCAAATTTTTGCTACCACTAAAAGAACTGTTATAGATATCTTTGTTTGTATGGGTCCTTTTAACTTTTTTTTTTAACATCTTTGAGGAATAGATCTACTGGGCCAAGTATAGTATTGCTGGGCCAAAGGATGTGTATGGGTGTAGTTCCAAATTGTTCTCCAGATTAGTTACGATAATTAACTGCTCCAACAAAGCTGCCAAATGGCACTTGATCCTGTGCCCAGTGATGGCACAGGAACCGCCTTGGATCTCTTCATGACCAGGTGTTCACTTCCCTTACTGTTTCTGAACTCTCTTCTGCTTCCCAACAAGTTGCTACTTCCATTAGCCCTATGCTGCTTCAGTCCTGGCCAGTTGTCTATCTTCCTCAGCTTCCGGGGGCTGGAAAAAATGGCTCATAATTTTGTTTCATTCTTGGCTTTCTCTCTTAGAATTAATTTGGTATGTTTTTAGGTTATCGTGGAGGGGATGTGTTGAGAGGGCTCAGAAAAAATGCTGGCTTTCATTTTGCTCATTTTGGCTCTACCCTCAGGGTAGACGTCATATAAATGTTAATAAATTTCCAAGGACATATTTGAACTCAGGTTTTCCTGATTCTAGACCCAGCACACTCTGTACTATACCATTTAAGAGGGAAATACTTTTAGCTGGAGTGATGAATGGGGACTATAGTGACAGCTGCAAATCATAGAACTTTAACTTTTAATTGACTAGAATTGTGATTTCTTTGATAACAATTATCATATTTATATTGTCTGGATTAAGTAGTTGTTTATGAGTATAGAGGGCAGCTAAGTAGCCTCACTAGCTGTGTGATCCTGAGCAAGTCACTCAACCTTGTTTGTTTCAGTTCTTTCATCCAGTAAAATGAGCTGGAGAAGGAAATGGAAAGCCACTGCAGTATCTCTGCCAAGAAAACCCCAAATGAGGCCCTGAAGAGTTGGGCACGACTGAACAATATGACGTCTGCATTCACCTGGTCCTCAGTACTAGCTGGGTCACTGATACACAGTTAGGATGATTTGATTGCAGAGTACCTAGGCTATGCCCCCAGATTAGGCTTTTAAAAAGAGAATTCAAACATGGAGAGAACCAGACTGATACAGCCAGAAATATTCGAAGACTGTGGTTTCCTGGAAGGAAATCTATATGGTTCCCTGACTCCGTAGTCCTGTGACCTCTCTCTAGAGCAGCATGTATCAGGAAACTACCAGTTCCTGGGACTGATAGCCAGTGTGTCCTGAGTCAGCAGTGGAAGATTGTAATGAAGTGATGGAGGAATTACTGAACCTGAGGAGGCTGTGGATGAGGTACTAAGAAGGAACACATGCTCAAGGATTCCAAGTGAAGCAGTTTATTTCTCACAGACCTGCAAACGTGCAGCTCCCCTGCCCTTCAGTAACATAGGAAAATACTGGTGCTAGGGAGGGTTCACGGTCAGTTGCATACCCCTGTTGAGAGCTCAGAACTCTGGGTCTCTCCCTCATTTAATTTCTGATTGTGGCTACAGGGCAGATTCATAGCAACCAAGAAGGAGGGGCACCTAGGGCACTGAGACTGTTGGAACTACTCCTCACACCTCACCCTTTATCAAATACAAGGGCATCATGATGAGGGAAGTTTGCTAAATTGATTATGATTAGGGGAGCCTTGCATACCTTTCATACCTGGATTATGATTAGAAGAGCCTTGCAAACATTGCCGAAATGGAGCTAACATAAACAGGTTACTGGATGCATAGGAGCTTCTCAGTACATGGGTGGTTCAGTCAAACATGGAGTCACTTCTGTCAGCTAGGGCCAATTGCAAAAGGCCAATCTCAGAAGATTCCCTGGAAAATGGTGAGCTCCCAGGATTAAAGAGAAGCAAAGGATAAATTCATGAAGGGGAGCAGCAAACCTTGCTTTGGCCTTACTCTTTGCTTCTGTTTTGAGTTATAGTACAGGTCTAGGGAAAGTAGGATAAATCTTGATATTCCCCCGTCTTTCACCTACTGATGAAACACTCAAAACCGGGTAGTTCTAGAATACTGGAGTCACTGTAGAATCCCTAGGGGATGTGGGGTTAACCAGAAGAAGCATGTTGTTTGACCCTCTAGTGACCCCAGTTTTTATCACCTTGAAGGAAGGCCTCAAGTCTGGAAGACAGTATAAGTCCCTAAGGGGGTGAGGCTTACCAGAAAGGGAAGGAGGCTTGTCTTGATTGTTTAGGGATTATGGGGTACGCAATTTGCAAGACTAAAAAGCATTGCAAAATTTCCCAAACACAATCAGTTCTATTTTCCTTCTCCTCTTCCATTCTGGAGTCCTAATCTAGTATGTGTTTTCTCTCTCTCTCACGTATGTAGGTATCTATATATACATGTATACATATACAATGCCCACCCACATACATATGTTTTTCTCTCAGTTGTGTCAGCCCTTCATAACCCCATTTGGGGTTTTCTGGGCAGAGATACTGAAGTGGTTTGCCATTTTCTTCTTCAACTCATTTTACAGATGAGGAACTGAGGCAAACAGGGGTTAAGTGACTTGCCCAAAGTCACACAACTAGTAAGTGTTGAAGGCCAGATTTGACTCATGAAGATGCGTCTTCCTGATTGCAAGCCCAGTGCTCCATCCCCCTTTGCCGCAGTTAGTCTCATAGATACATGCACACACACAGACCCCTATTTATATACATATGTGTATGTATGTTTTTATGTATGCCTGCATGTGTAGACATACACATATACACACAGACACACACACTAATTCAATGGGAAATTTCAATGGGAAATTTAAAGGATTAATTCAGTGCCTATCATGTTAGATCTTTTTTTTTAAACCTTTTTGTTTTTCCAACATCAATTTTTAGTAGTTCATTTTTTAAAATAATAAGGTGTCTCACAGAAGAGACCCCTGTAATGTTCTGGAACTTGATGCAGTCAGCACAGTGTCATTGTGAGGCAGCATGGTGTGGTGGTTAGAGTATTGAGCCTGCAGTCAAGAAACCCAGGGTTTACTTCCCTTTTTTAACACATCTAAGACATGATTATGGGCAAGTAAATCACTTAACATTTCTAAGCCTATGTTTCTTTATCTGTAAAATGAGGATAATAGTACCTCTAATACTTTCATCACAGGATTGTTATGAAGATCAAATGAGATAATCTATGTAAACGTTGCAAACTTGAAGGTACCATATAAATGTAATTACTCTTGTTCACAACCAGGAGCATCTAGAGATATCACTACATATAGACATCCTCCTACACAGAAATAAATACCTTTGTCAAACATTCATTTCCTTGTTTTGTGCCTAGACATTGATATTAGAGGATTATTGAGTAACTGTTGTGTATATCAAAGGCTTCCTCCAAATTCATTGGGAAGTTGTGATTACTATTACTCACAGGTTTAGATACTCTCTTAAGTCATTTTTCACCTCCACCCACTGGTACTACTTATCTAGATCAATTTTTAATAACAAATAACTTAGTTCATGTTGTGATAAAAATAAAACAAAATGGTTTAATTAGTAAAAGCATAATCATATCAGTAGTAGCAGCCCAGTAAGCAGAAAATGCAGCCAATCTCAATCCCCACCCCTAGGGTCCAGAAGACTTACTAGCTTTTTATGCTTTATTGCCACTCCCAAGCAACATGAGGAGAAGTCATGAAGTTCACTGGCTTGATATAAACCTCTGACTGATTCTAAAGGAAGGAATTGCATGTTAGCCATTAGGCATAATAGGGAAGTAGATGACCAGATAGAAGCACAAGGGATGATCACAGACATTCTGGCAGTAGAGTACTACCAAACTGCTCATTGGGCTTCTCCATGTGAGAAACACTGGCTGATGAGTCCAAGCATTGATGACTAACTATGCCCTCAACAGGACAGGAAGGATCACTTAACAATCCATAGGATAATAATGATAATGATAATAAAGCTAGCATTTTATATAGCAGCGTCTGTGTGCTAGAGC